AATGGCTGAGGACGAAGCGGTGGGGATCCTTGTCCTATCACGCGGTGCAGATTTTGTCGGGGCACGGATGCTTCGGCAAATACCTGCACAGGATCCGGCGGGAGGAAACAGACTCCTGCCATCACTGCGGATGCGCCTCAGACACGGCGCAACACACCTTGGAGGCATGCCCGGCCTGGGTAAGTCAGAGGACTGCCCTGGCCGGAGCATTCGGCGCGGATCTATCCCTGCCCGCCATTGTGGCAGGGATAGTAAGGAGCGCGGACGACGCTCCGTGGCGGGCCTTTAAGGCCTTCTGCGCCGACGTCCTCTCGCGAAAGGAGGAAGCGGAGAGGGCGAGGGAGATTGCTCCCGACGCCCCCGCTCTCCGACGGAGGAGACTTGGGCGGCGCCGGCGCGATTACGCGCGGCGTCCGCCGTGACCTCGGTCTTAGGACCGAGCCAGGAGACGTGGCCAACAACCGGCCACGAAGGGCGAGCTGCGCGCGGGAAACACGCGCGGCAGGACACACGGGCGCGGGCATGCGGGTCAAGGGCAACTAACCGCCCGCTCGCGTCCGGCAAGTCTCCCGTGGGCTCTTGGAGGTTTAGTGGGTAGTGGTCAAGCTGGCCGACCCCACACTCCCCCGCCACTTAGGTGGCCAGGTGGGGGCGTCGGTAAAGAGTCGATTCCTCCAAAAAAAAAAAAAAAAAAAAAAAAAAAAAAAGGAAATTAGATCCGACTCGCCGTGCCGAGACGGATCTCCAGATCACCGGAGTAAGACCCATAGGGGTTAGGTAAAAAAAAATATTTGGGGGGGGGGGGATTTTTCGTGGGGAGGCGAATGGCGCTCAAAAAAAATGTGTTGTTTTAAGAGGGGAAGTGGGTATCCCGAGCAATAGGGAAATTGAATTATTGTGGCTGAAATTATTATAAAAGTACTTATAATTTACTAAAATTTAAAAATGTTGGAAAAAAATTTGAAAAAGAGGTGGGAGGGGGAAACTAGAGGGGCCAAAATATTCCTCTCTTAAAGACGAATAGTTTAAGCCCAAACTCGGGGCTGTTAGGACTAAGGGGGTGGTTTCCGGTTTTGAGGGGGTGAGGGGTTTTTTTGCGGGAGGGGGGGGGGGGGGTTAATGCAATAACGTAACCTTACCTAAACTAACCCAACCTAACCTGTTTTCCCGATTACAGACACAGAATCCGATCTCGGAGGGGGGAGGGGGAGGAAATGAGGAAATCTTTTGGAGCCAAAAGACTCGCCGTGCCAAGACGGATCTCCAGAGCCCAATCTCGACGACTTAGGACCAGGATCACCGGAGTTAGACCCAGAGGGGGTGAGGTAAAAAAAATATTTGAGGGGGTTGGCGGGGAACTTTCGTGGGGAGGCGAATGGCGCTCAGAAAAAATGTGTTGTTTTTAGAGGGGAAGGGGGTATCCCGAGCAATAGGGAAATTAAATTATTGTGGCTGAAAGTATCATAGAAGTACTTATAATTTACTAAAATTTAAAAATGTTGGAAAAAAAAATTGAAAAAGTGGAGGGAGGGGGAAACTAGAGGGGCAAAAATATTCCTCTCTTAAAGACGAACAGTTTAAGCCCAAACTCGGGGCTGTTAGGACTTAGGGGGTGGTTTCCGGTTTTGAGGAGGTGAGGGGTTTCTTTTTTGGGGGGGGGGAGGGGATTTTTTTTATGCACTAACCTTTAGCTCGTCCAATGACGACCACGACGAGCCCAAGCACTATTAATCTAAGTTAATTATAAAGGAAGTTATACTGTATTAAAATTTTAAAAAGTATTATTTTGTATGTTTGTTCACTAAAAAAATTTTACTCAAGTATAGCTGTTAAATAAATATTTTTAAAATATCGCTCTTGGCACATTTTTGTTTGAATTAGAACCGTTTTAAACTAAGAACCGTTGGAAACTTTTAGCAACTTTACAGATTTATACTTATAAAATGTTTAAACGTTATTTAAAAATACTAAGAGTTGATGGATTTTGATGTTTTTGGGCTCAGTCGATAGCTAAAGAACCAACCAGTTTTTAATAAGTATTATATAATTACTGAGTCTATTATATATTATTTGTTATAAGCGCTGAAAAGTAATGTTAATTTTAGAAAATTTTAAGAAATTTAAAGGCTTATAACTTTTTTAATTTAAGTCCAAATGAAATTAAAAAACTATATTCTATATGAGGAGAAAAATATCTATCGAATGGCGATATATATGTATTATTTGGCTTTTAACTATCGATGTGATATTTTTATTTGTGTATCCCAAACCGTTAACAAAAGATGCTATGGCTTATATCTTAAAAACTATTACACGTAATTTAATGAAAATTTAAAATAATATAAACTAAGACGTTCTCTTGACATTACAATATTTCGCTTAGGCGTGCTCCAGAAGGTTGACCCCTGATGAGGACTCGAACGCTCCGTCTGCTTCAGCTCGACCGCAAATAGATGAAGACGCTGGTTTCATATGATTTTCGTCAAAAAGCATACGCAGACTTCAATACTCATGGACACGTTCACAATGGCTTGGCTATTTATGGAAATGGGCAATGATAGGCGAGATATTTTGGATCTTGTGATCCCAACGCCATAAATTTTTGTTTTTGTGGGATTTAGAATAAAAGAATTCGACGAAACCGAATTAACGTAAGAAATAGCTTTTGAAGTAGAAAGAGTAATAGAGCTGTATATCATCAGGATACATATGGAAACGACAGTGTATTAAGTGTGACTCAATATCTGCTGAATAGAGAATAAATATAAAAGGTTCCAAAATAGAGAGAGAAATCGTAGTCGTACCGTATCTTCTCGTATTACAGCGACAGTACTAAACCAATTGGCTGCATCTGGTGAAAAACCATAAAATTAAATAAATCAGGAGGTTTAATCCGTGCGTGAGCCTTAATGTGTATCCATAGGTTTTTTGGTTGGTTAATGGAGTTATTTACATATTTATCTAAGTAAAGTTTATTTTCGATAAATAGCGCCACATTCACCTGTTTTTTGCGGTCTTTATAATGATTAATATGTGATTCTCATTTACTCTTCCTAGCCCTAATGTATGCTTCATCGCGGGTCTTCATCATACATTTTAAATTATATGTCACCCATGGATAGTGACGTTTTCTAGCAAAAACCCATTTACGAGGTGCATAAAAATCGAATAATGTGCTGAGATAAGACGTAAAAAGATAATAGATCTTACTGTCCACGTCTGCTAAATGCCGAATTGTCTCCCGAGAAGTAGCTAAAAGCGTATTATTACAACTCTCCATATTAATATCCTTTAAATGAACGAGATCCAACTAGGTTTAAATTTTTGCTTAATTATGTTAAAAGTACAAAATACAAACGCATGACTGCTTAAATCTCTTATGTGATCGACTGCCACTTCCGACACCGGAGCATTTTTATTATTTTTTTATTTTATTAAGAAATAGCTGTACATCGAACCAAGGCGGTCTATAAGCAGTTTGCCCCGAATGCTAGTTCTCACTCACATCTGTTCAACTAGATTTACAGCAGGATGTGACAATAAACGAACAGACATCATTTTATTAATGTAAAAACCTACGCCTCCACCGCGAGTGCGAACCGACGGTGGGCGGGGAATATGTCGAAGCCTGTAACCCGTCACCTGAGGAGCGCGTCCCGTCTCTCCCTCACGAAGCCACGTCTCCTTTACGGCTAGTATGTCCACCTTCCTAGTGACCCTGGATTCAAGAGTCCAACCTTTAACCTTTCTCCACTATTTACCATATTGTCTTACAAAGTAATTCACAAACAGGTCTTTCACATAAGCAATTCTTTTTTTATACACGAGACGTTCAAATAATTCTAATATTTGAGCCAATAAAATCGCGACGTGCTCAGTATTTTCGCCGTTCGCCTCGAAAACTCCCGCAATCTCCACATCATTCATGAGGCATTGCTGTTCAGACTGATTCAGGCGTCTCTTCAATAGTTCTACTTCACCGTTTACTTCACAGCTATGATCACAGCTGATTATTAGCCCCCAGCTGAAGCACGCTCTCTTCCAGTTTAGATATTCTAGATTCCATATTATCTAGCCTACTTGTGAAGGAGGCAATTGCTCTAGTGAGTTGAGAATATGTTTCTGACTTGAAGTCGATAATAATCGTGCGAAGGGATAAGATTTGATTTAACTCCTCGAACGATGAAGCGACGACGTCACTTGATAATGCTAAAGAACCAATATCACCGGCCGTAGTCGCATCGTTATGAGGTATGCTGCTACTGTTGCTGCCAACATAATCTCGATTACTCTTCGAGCGAGCTATCAGACACGGCTTGTAGCATTTTTTCGAACTTGGACTTACTGCTTTTGGGCAATTTTTATGCAAGTGAAAATTACAGTCTTTGCATCGAACGCCATCTGGAGCAATCGCAAAGAACTTCCCACACATTACATAAATTTATTTAATTAATCGGGCATGTCGTTGGAATAATTTATTTCGTTTTATACACTTTTTGTTAGATTTTAACTTTGCTTAAGAATGTTGCCCAAACACTTGCATTATCTTTAGTGATTTTTTGTGGATTTAACTCGAACGCCAAGATAATTTAAGTCCAAACTGTTTCTCTTGCTATAAACCTTTTTCCTCTCCGATACCAACAAAACGGATAGTTATGCATCGAACGCCATCTGGAGCAATCGCAAAGAACTTCGCACACATAATTCCTTTGTCTTGATGGATTGGGCATTTCACTATAATTCGTATTCAAATTCAAAAGTGAATCACCAGATGGCGCTATTATACACTTTCTGTTAGATTTTAACTTTGCTTAAGAAAGTTGCCCAAACACTTGCACTATCTTTATTGATTTTTTGCGGATTTCACTCGAACGCCAAGATAATTTAAGTCCAAACTGTTTCTCTTGCTATAAACCTTTTTCCTCTCCGATACGAACATTTTTTTATCCTATCATTAATACTCTTCGCAGCGTATGCGATGAAAGACATTTTATGGCAATTTTTTTTAAACCTCCCGTTGCTTTTAATAGAAATCTCTAAAGATTTCTATCGTAATCTACTACTAAGTATAGTCTATTTCACTCAGTGATAATATAGCTTTCTAATGAAAAAAGAATTATCAAAATCGGTCCAGTACTTTTTGAGTTTATCCGTTACATACAAAAATACAAATATTTCCTCTTTATAATTAATATTATGTTATATAATTAATATTATATAATTAATATTAAATATCGTGGGCAACATACACATTAGTGTATGTTGCCCACGATATTTGCATCCCGTCGTTCGGGTCGTTCTTGCCAGTTAATCTTAAAAGAAAGACATATATCATTTAAAGGGGAATGATTCTTTTTTACACAATTTTTAGGTATCTCGAACCGTTTTCGCAGCGGGTTAATTAATCTAAAAATAATTCCTACATTTCCAACAGAACGTAAATTTGATGCTCCACTCTTGCTCATTATTAGTGTCAGGCGCCAGAGAATCCGAACACATCGGGTGACGAAGTCCTTGCCTTATCTTCGAGATGGCTGAGTGAGTCGTAGATTTCTACACAACTTGTGGAGTACTTTGGAACACATTATGTGGATGATGGAATGGGTTTTCACTTTACTCGAACTTTCTTAGTAAACTAGTTTAATGTTTGCGCCCTATTTTACAAAACTAAAAATACAGGCTAAATGGCAGTTAGTGCAATTATGATTGTATATTGATTTCAACGTGCATTATTCTGTAGAGCGAAACACAGATTTTAAAGGAGAAAATTAAAAAAAATGGTATTAAAGTTTTCTTAACTTCAGGTGGTAATATTCATGTGGTGAAATTTCCTAAACACAGAGTAGATTAGTTTATTGTTCCTTGTGCTAAAGATAAAAAGTAAAAGTCCATGCGTGAACTTAACGATGTCAACTTATAAATTCCCAATAACAATTGTAAGAAAAAATTTAATGGAATCTACCGTTTGAAAGATTAGTACATCAATTAAATCGATTTAGGAATTCTTTTACACTTCTAATCTCATTCGACTAGATTTATTACTAGGCCTACCCGTATTACATAATTCAATAATTAGTACACTAGTATTTACAGATATGAAATTCATACGTAATCCGTAGAAGGGAGGAGGGACAGGGGAGAATTGAAACACACGTTCGAGTATAAGAAAAATTTACATCGCTTATTAACAAATCGATCGTAAAGTCTATCAGTGTACGAGACAATGAAGGCAGAATTACCACGACGCTAATTATCATAACACCATAAAATGAAACACAGTCCACGCACATGAACAGATTTATTCGTTGACTGAGAGGCAAACTCATTGGTCCACCTTTATTGCTTCGGGGCGACGCCTCGCTCGCCGCTCGTCTCTTAGCCTACCTATGTACAGATTAGTGCCCGCGTCCTAACTACCTACGAAGCTATGTACAGTCGCGGTCCGACCGCTCGACGAGGCGTCGCCGCCGTCACTTGGCGTCCGGCTCGGGCGCAGCGGACGCAGCCGCGGGCGAGGGCCCCGCGAGGCGAGCCAGCGTCTTGTAGAGCGGCGAGTTGACGAAGCGCGGGTATGAGTCCCGGTGCATGAGCGTATAGATCTGCAGCTGCGCCTCGTCGAAGGTGTGCGGCGTAGGCTCGACCATGCTGCGGTTGACGGCCTCGCGGACGCGCGAATCCAGCGACACCTCCTTGGGCGACAGGATCGAGATGTAGTCCTCGTAGATGAAGCGCGCCTTCTCCTCGACGGCGTCGGGGTCCGTCTCGCGCTTCAGCTCCTCGCACGCGAGCCAGAACATGATATTCTCCTCAGAGTACTCGCCACGCAGGAAGTCGCGGAACACCTTGCGGCCCGCCGCGCTGCGCATCAGCCGCTCGAACGACTGGCCCCAGGCGCGGATCTCGTCGATCGAGGGCGGAGCGTCGCCGTCGAGCAGGGGCTCGGTGGGCGAAGGCCCGGGCTCCCGCGGCTTCTTACCCGGCCCGCCGTCCGACCCGCGCGCCGCCGACCTGCCGACACAGACGCATTCGTCAAACCTTGCCTACCGACTCTCTCTTACGGAAACGCCGGCTCCGACGCGTCGCCCTCGCGCACTCACCGCTTCGCCCTGCAACAATACAACGCCGCTCTATCTGTGCACTAGCAAACGCGAAGTAAATAATTTAACATAAGTAACTAGGTCTCGTCAAACATAGGATTAACAAACGAATAGCCATAAAGTAGTTTCGCGAAAAAATTTCTTCTCATTATTATTTATTTATTTTTTTATATCGATAAGGATAGCGACTTTTGTGAATAATAAAGAAACACTCAAAAATAGTCGAGTGGATGAATTGTACTTCCACAAAGGACAATAACTAACCACGAGCAGGAGCAACAGCAGCACCAACAGAGACAGCACGGCTTAGCGGCGGCGGGCCGGCAGCCACGCGCCAACGCTGCCAGGCTGCACATCTGCAACAAGCGCGCACGAGGCCAGCCGTGAGGACACGCGCATTTATTAAGAGCTGAAAGGGACTACCTGGCACTCATACGACGGACGAGGTCAGTCGGGCGGAGGCGCTGCCCTACGCCTGCGTCGTGCGGCCTCGCCCTCTATCTGCGAGTCGGGATACGTACCGACGGCTCTAGGACGACAGCGGCCTCCCGTGACCGAAACGATCCGCCACAGCATCCGCGGCCGCGAAGGGCGGCTCGCCGGCCACGCCCGCTAGCGGCTCGGCGGGCGCGGCACGGGGCGAGCGCGGCTGCCTGCCGGCTGCCTCGCGAGTGCGGCGAAGCTGTCGATGCGTGCCGCGGCCGGGGTGCGACTGACGCCCGCCTCGCGCGCCCGCCCTGCGCGCCTGCGCACTCCCCGCGCCGCCCTACGTCGTCCCGCGCCGCTACGACGCTCATCGATTTTTTACGCTAATGCGTCATCGGCCATTTTCATTCATGCCGAAAGTCGACTCGCAATTCGCACAATCTCTCGATTATTAACGACGACTTGCAGTAATACGGCGATCCGCTTCGGCCCGGTCTCCTCGTCTTCCTCGTCCGCTGGAAACGACCGCGACTCTCCCTCGCCCCGAAATCCACTCTCGGCGAAGGTCCGACTTACCCGTTTCATTCACGGCGAGGCATACGCAGACCCCTCCCGAAGCCGCAACATTGCGCGCACCCCGGCACCGTCCGACACACTTCTAAGCCCGTCCCACCCGCAAGTCGTAAAAACCAAAATAGTCGATTTCAGTTTCAAAGCTGAAGATAAGAAACATAGTAAAGAAACTGTCTAATCTTTATGTTAAAGGGCTGAAGAAACAATTTTAATTATCTCCAGAAAAATGCGATAAACAATAAGAAGCCCGTAATGTTTTATGCGTTTATCGACTTATCATTGAATTATAAAAGCCATTATTTGCCCGACTCGTCGATAAGTTTAACGATGCCTCAGAGACAGCGAAGAAGTTTCAGATCGATTTGAGCCGAACGGGAGTCGTACACGTAGAGAAAGCATGAGAGGGCCGCCAAGTGGCCCATGGAAACGGCCCGATGCGTGACTGAGCGCGGTCGATAGTCGGGCGAGGCGGGCGGCGAGGAGTTTTCGGGAGGGCGGCGCGCGCCTCCCCGCGGCGATCGATGTCGCGCAGCGCGACTGCCACCCGCCGCCGGCTGCCCACTAGTTAGCTCGCACCCGCCGCGCTCTCAGCACCCGGCGCAGCGCGAGCCGCCCGCCCCAGTTCGCCCCCCGACGCCCGCCCCGCGGAAGAGGCCCTCCGAGCATGGACGGTGGCGCCGGAGTGGGCGGCGTCGCTTCCCTCGCGATGGACTGCGAGGACATGTTCAAGGAGATCACCAAAAAACTATACGGCGAGGAGGCTAGCGTTAACGTGGGCATCGGTGGGGGGGTCGGCGTCGGCGGCGTTGTCGGTGTCGAATTCCCGGCCGCCGAGCGCGAGCTGCACGAGGACGAGCTGCGGCCCGAGGAGCACATCACGGCGTGGGGCCTCGCCGCACTCATGCAAAACGGGTTCCCGCCGCCCGGCATTCTACAAGCCAACTTCACGCCGCGCACGGACCCCACAGCTGAGGACCGCTGGAGCGTGGCCGACGAGCCGCTGGCGTGGGCGCACTCGCGCGTCGCGGCCTACAACCCAGCGCAGAGGCTGTTCAAGTGCGCCGAGTGCGAGTGCGTGGGCTTCCTGGCGCGCGTAGCCGAGCACTGGCTGGGCACGCACTCACACGCGCGCGCCTTCTCGTGCCCGCTGGCCGGCTGCGGCTTCGCCAGCGGCTGGGCGCGCTCGGTGCGCCTGCACTTGGCGCGCGACCACCATTCCGACCCGGCCGCCGCCGACCATCTGCTGCGGGACAACCCCGCGCTGGATGACCTCACGCGCTACCTGCAGCGCCTCAAGACCAAGGTGTATAAGGAACTCTCAGTTGCGCCTCCGGTTCGCCCGCGGAGCGGGTAGCTTCGGTTCGTTTCGGGAGTTCTCGAAAGTTATCAGTTTTTATAAAACGAATATCCGTTCAGAAGCAGTTCTCGGCCGTCAGAATCATTCAAAATGAGGAACTGATCGCCGACGTCGAATAAAAATACCAGTGTAATGTTTGGTCGAATTTATTTAATTAGTCGTATCAAAATTTAAAAGTAACGATTATTTGAAGAATATTATGCGTATCCTGCATTCCTCCAGAGCTTTCGACGACTTTGAATGAGTAGAAAAGTCTAGTCTAAATATTAAGTATTTCAAATAGCTACAGAATACATTCAACGACAAGCTTGTATTGAAATATTCGCGTTTGCATGATATGAATACATGTCTCGGAGAACATATAGCTAGCTAGATGTAAGTCTTAAAGGAATCTAGGAACACCTTTCACAAGATTGCATTTGCACAGGTGGAAGCCGCTCGGACAGACAGAAGAAACTCGGCCAACACGAGCGTCGGCGTCGGCGTCGGCGGAGGCGGCGGCGGAGGCGCAGTCGACCAGCCGCAACAGAGCGAGGCGGCCGGTGTCGCGGGAGTCGCGGCGGCTGCGGGAGTGGGCGTCGCGGAGGCCGGCAAGCGCTACGCGTGCGCCGCCTGTCCCTACGCCACCGACCGACGCGACCTTTTTACCCGCCACGAGAACATCCACCGGGACGAAAAACCCTTTCACTGCTACTTGTGCCAGAAGCAATTCAATCGCGCCGACCACGTCAAGAAGCACTTCCTGCGAATGCACCGCGACCAGCCCTACGACCTCAACCGCATCCGCCGCGCCGCGTCGGCCGGGAAGCCTGCGCCCGGCCTGGCTCCGCACTACGCGCCGCCCAAGGGCCCCTCCGACGGCGCGGCGGAGTGTCGAGCGCCGCCGCCAGTCAAGCTCGAGCGGGCGCCGCTCGTCAAGGCGGAGGGCGCAAAGGGGGCCGCGCCCCCGCCCAGCCCGGTGAGACGCAAGGTGGGTTCCGACCGAACCGACCCCGTCGGTGCCGCTTCCGTCTCAAACGAGCGTGTCGCTCCGCAGGGCGAGCGCCGCTACGCGTGCTGCTACTGCGCGTGGTCGGGCGTGGACAACTGGTGCCTGAAGCGCCACCTCAATACGCACCTCAAGCCGTTCGCATGCGCACTCTGCGAGTACAAGGCGGCGCGGGCTGAGCGCCTCGCCACGCACGTGCACAAGGTGCACAACAAGAAGGCCTGCGCCAAGTGCCCCTTCCTCGCGGACGACGCACCTCACCTCGCCGCGCACCTCCGAGACCAGCAGTGAGTATGCCGTCGTCTCGCTCCGGACTGTTCGAGTTTCGCCTCCAGCGCGAACTCTAACGAATCGCTTTTCTTTTCAGTCACATCGAGAACCGTAACCTGAAAGTGCCGAGCGGCGTCGGGCGCGGCGGTTTCGCAAACGCGTCGCAGCAAGTCGGCAGCGTTGCGGCCGCAGCTCCGTCGGCGGGGTCATCCGCGGGCAGCGCGGTCGCCGGCGTTGCGACGGCGAGGCGTCGCGAAGGACGCGCGGCGGGCGCGGCGCGCCTTTTCGGCTACCTCGAGGCGTCGGACGGTTCCGGCGACGAATACGAGCCGCCGCCGGCGCCCCCGCTGCAGACGACAACCGACTTTCCGACCCCCGGCGCGCCTCCACCTCAACACTACGCAAGGGACAAGGAGAACGCCGCTCCTCAACCCCTGCACCACGCTCTGCACCATGAGCACTGCCTGAGATACTGAGGCGCCGATTCCCGTTTGCGCTCTATTATCTACTGTGACGATTCGATTGTTTTGTTTTAAATATAAATAAATTATAAATACATTGAAATGAATGCTCTCGGTTTGATTTCGGCTAATACTGTTTATTGTGCGCGGATACAGACCGGGGCGATACAAAAATACGATAATATACGATACGTTACGACGAGCGATACACGAGCTCGTCGTCGATACAATAATAAAAGCGCTTACAAAAATATACACTCGAGTCGAACATGATCACAACATAATCTCAGTGTGGCAACTGACGCGAAGAGTCTTCGTGTTGCGGCGGCGCGGCGGGGGCCGTCGCGGGGGGCGTGGGCCGGCGCAGCAGGGCTGGCTTCGCCGCGAGCGCGGGCTTCAGTGAACCTCCCGTGAGCGTCAGCTCGGCGAACTTGGCGGCGACGCGCAGCGTGTTCCTGGCGGGCACGGGACTGGCCGGGGCGGGGGCGGCACTCGCGTGGGGCGCGGGCGGCGCCGGCCGCTTCTTGAGCGTGTCACGGTTGTGCAAGAACGTGTCGGCCGGGCACGAAGGGCCGCCGAGCTCCCGCGCCGGCAAGTCCAGCACGAGGTCGGGCGTGCTCTCCGCTAGCCTTCTGGAACGAAGTAACCGATTATTGCACGACAATTAAAATATAGCATCAACAAAAGTATTTCTATACTGTCTGTACTACGCGAGGAGTAAGCATTTAAAAATTCAACTTATTTTCGATTTTTAAATTATATAGTGCCTTCATGTGCAGTAACGTGTAAAAAATACTAAAGTTTTCAAACAAAAAGTATTTTCAGTATTAAGTATAGTTTTTCGGGCTGTTCGGCCGATGTGAGCGAGACAATGACATGCTGAACAATGGCCGTGAAAGCCTTATACAATTTATTAAAAAGTATTTTTCAATTCGAACCCGTAGTTCCTGAGATTAGCGCGTTTCAACAAACAACAAACTCTTCAACTTTGTAATTATTTATTTTTATTTTATTTTATTTGGAATTTATATTAGTATAGATAAAGAATTTATTTACAAATAAAGGCGCCAAAGCTGGATCAGCCGTTAATATTATCTCGAGTTGTCGGAAGAGGGGAGGCGAATAAACTCTGATGGAGGAACAGCCATAAAACCATAAACGTCAACTCCTGTATTCTTTACGATTGCAGGTACACAACACAACAATACTCACGCGCAGGCATCGGCGGTGAGGGGGTGCGGGGCGGCTGCGACGGCGGCAAGCTCGGCGTCGGGCGTCGGGCTGCGGGCTCGCTCGGGCTACAACACAATGCCCATTAGACTCTACGGCTTAGACTTGACGATCCAAAGCCCGAAGTGTTCGGAAAAGCGACTTAACAGCGGCGCGCAAAAGCGGACCCGTCACTGTGAACGTTCGATATGGCCGCGGTGCGTCGTCGGTGCCCTAGGCATGCACAATAGGGACGAGACTACCTCGACTTTCGCTTTTCGAACATTCGCAGTAACAGACGCATTAGTTTCCGCCATTTTCTGTCGAACTATCTTCTTAACCAGAATAAAAGCAAACAAGCGTCGGCAAAGTGTTATCGTCTGGGTACCTGCGCGAGTCGCTCTTCCTCCGGGACACACCTGGGGGCAAGCACAATGTAGCTTTAACTCAGTCGGGAAATGAGCATGTGGGCTCGTAGTGAGTGGGAGAGGGTACATTATATCGGCTCACCTATCGCGCGGTTCGCTCCATGCCTCTTCCTCCTCCTCTGCGGGGTCGTCGCTCAGTTCGCCCTCTGCGAAGGAATATATATAAAAACTTATGTAGATATATATATATAATCTCTATGGTTTATTGTTTTGCCTCAAATCTTAAGACATTGAATCAAAATGTCCGAGGTTTGAAATCTAAATGCAGATACTATACTTGAAAGTGCATTACTGTGGTAGAAAATATTTTAGTTGACAATATGTCCTTTACGGGTACGAGGGGCGAGTATGGGGCAAAGCGCTCACCCGTGTCGATGTGCGCGTACAGTGAATCGTCGCGCGCGGAGCCTCCGGCCTCGGGCTCCTCCTCGCCTCCGCCCTCTTCACCGTACACCTCGCTTTCACTGAAACTGAGAAAGTGCCCTGTTAACCCAGCCTCTACGGCCGCACGGGACGCCACCGCAGCGGTCCTTCCGCGCGCGCTCACCTGCTCCGATCCGCGTCGACAGTGAGGCTCGGACGGCGGTAGAGTGTGTGCGGCGCAAGATCCTGCGGAAACACGTCGCGGTGGTGTACGATGGTGCGTTTGACGAGCTCGTTGACGAGATTCTGCGCAGCCACCTGGTCGCCTCCCTCGCCCCATGCGGGTAGCAGCGTCGGCCCGAGGCAGATGGCGAGGTTCCACGCGTCCATCATATTGTGCTCGCTGTGTTCGGCGAGATGCGCGAGAAAGGCGAACAGGTAGCGCAGGACGAGCAGTGCAGGCAGGGGCAGCAGCGCCAGCGTGTCTCGCAGACGGGCCACGAAAACCGCGTCATCCGGCAGCGCGGCGATGCGGACGAGCCGCTCCTGCAGCTGCGGCGGCAGCAGTGGAGGCCGCAGTTCACGCAAGTACAACTTGAGCAACCCGCACACGGAGTTCATGTCTGACGCGTCGCGCACGTTCACCAGGGGATCCTCGCCGCGCTCGAAGGCCGCGCGCAAGGCCTGCATTTCCACCTGCGAGCCGGACACGCGAAAAATGCCCTGATGGCGTAGCCCGTATCCGGCGATGACACGCACGCACGACACCAGCGGGGTGGGTAGCCGATCGTCGAGCGGGGCGGCAAAGTGACCGCGCCGGCGGCCTCCGGCGCCCGCCCGACGCGGCGGCGACGGCGGCGAGCGCAGCGGGCCTCCGCTTGACGACGACGGCGACGCGGGCAACAGGCGCTCGCGCACGGCGGCCGCCTTACTTTCGAGTCTTGCCAGTCTTCCCGCGCACGACACGTAAGATCGAAACTTCTGCAAATCAAAAACGAAACTATGACGAAACTACTGGTTATTTATAAGTATTAATATTAGTGCGAAGTGCACGCATACCGCTAAGTAGTAATCCTCCTGGTCCTTCTTGGGGGCGTCGTCGTCCTCGTGAGAGGCGGGCGGGGCGGGCGAAGAAACGTATGCGGGGGCCGACATCGCAACACCGAAGAGACCGGAGACGTCCCAGTGAGAGTCGGGCCCTTCCATCTGGCGCACCAGTTCGGCCTCGGCGGCGTCGAGAGTCTTGGCGTGCTCGCGGCACTCGGCGCGTAAGCTCCGCGCCGCCGCTTCCAACTGAGCGAGGCGCTGCGTTAGCTCGCGCCGCACCGCCTCGCTCGCTTCGTCGGCTTCGGGCGCCGCTCCGCCTACTATCTCGCGCATACTCGCGTCTTGCTGCGGCGGGGGCTCGCCGGCGTAGGGCAGAGGTCTGGGGAGTGCGAAAGCGGCCGGGTGCGCGGAGACCGTGCGCTGACGATCGGCGAACGCGTCGAGGGCGTCAGCCGCGCCTGCGAGAGCGCGCGCTGCGCTCGCGAGGGCCGCAGCCCTCGCTCCCTCCGCTGCTCCCGCCGTGCGTACCGCGCGGCCGACGACCGTCTCGAAGCCGACTTCGCTGCACTGCAATGCACAAATTTATAGATCGGGCAATGTCGCCCGCGGACACAAAGGTCAGCCGAGAAGTGAGAACCTACCAGCATTATGTCAGCGATATCGTCAAGGTAGTAGCGCTGCAGCGTAGCATTGGCCGCTTCGAGGCTGAGGACGTAGTCGGCTCGAGCCCGCAGCGCCCTGGCTCGCGCCTCGCTGTGCCGCGCCCGTCTCTGCAACACAAAGTACAGTGGCGCTATAGAGCTCCGTAGAGCTTCGACTCGCACACCCTAAGATGCCCTCGCGAGGCGCTCACCTTTTCGAGCTCCTTGTCGAGCGCCTTGAGTTTCTTATGGCGCGGTGGATCGACAGCGAGCGACGCATCGCGGGCCGCGTGGGCGTTGCGCAACTTGAGCGCCGTCGCGCGCCACTCCTGCGCGGCCGCCGCGTGCGCCTTGCCGGCGACAGCCGCCTCAGCCAACGCCGCGCCGATTTCCTCCTGGCGTTCGGCGACGATGTCGCGGCACTTGCGGTGTAGGCGCAGCACGTCGTCGGCCGCCCGCTGCAGCCGCGAGGCGAGCGGACCGGCGTACAGGTCGGCGAGCGCGGCATGGTCCTTAGCGAGCTGGCGCGTCGTGTCGAGCGCGGCCGTGAGGCAGGCGAGCGCAGCGTGGTCGCGCTTGAGGCGCCGCGCCGAGGGAGCCGCGGCGCGGGCCAGCTTGTCCAGGGAGCGCGCGTACTCGTGCTCGAGGTCCGCTCGCCGGCGGCAATACTCGTGCAGTTCACCAGCGGCGCTCGCGGCAGCCTCCGCCCTCGCTTCAACCACACGCGCCTGCTCCGAAAGTTGAACGCGAATATCTGTAATGCGAGTGGAGAGTAACTTAACTAACACTCTACCCTATTCCTGACAAATTTATTGAAATATTCATATCATTAAAGAGGCTGTACGGTACCCATAGACGTGAGGCGACATCGGATCATAGATAAATAAATATACACTAATATTATAAAGTTGCATTTGTATTTTTGTGCGTGTCTGTAATGGATAAACGACTGGGGCTGGGGGTTCCTATTAGAACGCTGCACTCAGCTCTTTGTTTCAATCGCCTTTTCCATTTGAAAGATAGTACCTACAACTTTAAAATTATAAATATTGAAAAATATCGCATCCTTGCAATGCCAGTTTTTAAATCGTACTCAAAGGATATTACGAATTTAAAAGATCGTTAAGGCGCCGCCGCGATTCGTCGGCACTGGACCGGGATTCGCGCGATCGGATACCCACGCAGCGGACGTAATTAGATAGATAAGTTAAAATAATTATATCAATATACCGAAGTCCACACAAATTGGAACGGGCCTAGCGATACTTCATATGACACGACGACGTGTGCAAGGTCAGCTGGTTAAAAATAAGTAAACTTATATACCTACCCATTTCATTTTAAAGCGAGTGTGTTTTTTTTAATGAGTTGTACTCTTGGAAATTGGAGATATTCTGAGAACTTAAACAACACTCCTCAACTACGAGTATTGGAAGACGACTATTACATGCACAACATGTAGTAAACTTATTTAATTTCAAAAATTGAAAAACTATAACGTGGGTTAACTCTCTTTCGAACCAACAAACAACGGCACGGTACGAAGTCGCGTGCCTCGACATGTGCAACTTGCGGTGCCATCTAGCGGGCCATATGAGAGAGATGGACCCAGTGGTGCAAGTGAGAAGTAGAGTATTGAAATCTCCTCACGTTTAGTTTTCACGCAGTTTAGTTTTATGGACCGATCACATAGCAGGATGCTACTTATTCGTTTTAAATTACTACATAAGTCAAGTTACAGACAAACGTTCTAAATGCAATTTCCTCTCCGTTTCATTGGTCTGACGCACGACTACATAATAATAATATGTAGGTACATGGTGGATTCGCACCGCCCGCGCCGGCAGGCGGCCGTCTTCCTTAAGGCCTAATATGCACGAAAGCTTTTTTAACGGACGTTAAAAAAAACTCTAGTGCGTATCAGGCCTAGAGCCATGTTCATGTTAGAAAAGCGTTGAGTTTAAACCCAGCGTTGAAATTATAAACTAATTAGAAACACGTAAGACTCGGTGGGGATCGGAACCACGACTTGTTAATTATTATTAGCCATACAATGCTACCGTGACAGCGAAGACCCTGCTAACGTCTAGGGCCTAAATACATTCACTAACAACACTGAACGCTGCGCAATGACTGCAGTTCCGACGCTTTTTAGCGCTAGTGTGACAAATAGTATTATGTTACGTATGGTCTATTTCCAAAGCCCAAAATTAAAAATGAAACACGGCGCGAAAAAAAAATACTGTCGTGTAAACATATACTTGGGAATGCACTTGTTGTATATGAACGCGTTTTAACGTCCGTAAAAAAGCTCTCGCGCGAATAGGGTGCCTGTGTATACAATTTGTTATTCGAAAATATTCATAATTCAGTGTTACTCGAAGGTAGGTATTAGGTATAAAAATCATAAAGTTGAGAATAAGAATTCCATCCAACTCTACTAGGCGAGACATTAGGGGCTCGGGTTCTTATATTAGATGAGGCCGAAGCCCTTAATACCGGGAAGGGCGTGCGAGGCCAGTTCCGAGGGCAAAGGCCACTCTTGTCGCGGATGCACGATGCATTGGAACATGGCGGCCGCGCGCCGCCGACTGGCAGCCTCCCTCCGAAGTCCTTCGGCCCCGCGCCCCTCTTCCGGGGCGCATGCGAGCCTCCCGCCGCGGGACGAATGCTCGGATGCGAGAGTAGAGCACAGGTCGATGAGTCATTCGCAATACGCATGAGGATTATCAAGCTACTTCGTAAATTGAGTCGAGTGGGCGGGCGACGGCGGCTGGAAGCTGGATGCGACGATTGACAATGGAATAATGGAGCGAGGCTTAAATAAACGATAACAATAGTGATGCACGCTGAATGACGATGTCCATTACGACAATACGTATTCAAATATTTAAATATGGAAATGTAAAGTAGAAAAACACAGTGGGTCCGTTGATTGACCGACGACGGCTTCGATGTCTTCGCAGCCGAGCTGCGAGCGGCGCCACAATGTGAGTCACCAGTGCTATCTTTAGACTCGCGCTTGCAATGGATTCGATAGAGATCGATGAATTTCGTTTCTCACACGTAAGTTAAGATTTGTCGGACGAACCCGGGCATGTGGTTCGCAGATGTGACGGCTCGTTTCTCTAATCGCTGTTCGATGAAATAATGTTTACGGAAAGCTCTTTAATTCTGGCGAGACGGAATTATGTCTACGTCTGCCTCAAGCATACAGAGGGAAAGGGGACTAATAATGGACCCACACCAATGAGATTGGTGTGGGTCCATGATTCAGGTCCATGATTATAGGACGCTATATATATAAAGTTAGACGACAAAATGTAACAAAGGAAAAGTTAAAATTGTTATATCATTGGTAATTTTTAATATAAGAAAAAACCAAAATGCCACTTTCAAACAGGCTCTACACTATAGTTATAACAGAAGGAAAAAAATTGAACAATTCACCCAATTAAATATTATTTCAAAAATGACAATTATTTCATTTACAATTAACTGTTTCATTAACATTTAATTGTAAATGTTTAGTATTAAGCTTCCCCTGAGGATTCTGGTTTTAATCAAGGGTCTGAAGATGACAACTAACATCACGACTGATTGTAATCCACAGTTAAAGATTTGTAAACCAAAAATAACACTTGTCCATCACATAACATAAATTAAATGTCCATGCTGTTAATACTAAAGGGTATTCAATGTTTTTAATGTCAATTGAAAAAGTAAAGTTTTGTACAGTTGAAAGTATTAATGACCAAATTTATTTTTATTTCAAAAATATTTTTTTATTATATAATTATATCAGGTGCAGTTAGAAGAAATGCAGTAAAAGGAAATTTTGTTAGCACAAACTCCTTATTCAAAGTACACTTTAGTATTAGAAATAGCTAACATCTGAGTCCTGAGCGAGGTCTGAGTCCAGCTCAGAGGATTGTAAGGGACATAGTAAAAAATATTGTGGAATCACTAACTGTTGAAAGCGGCTAGTTTCCTGGTGGAGCCGAGACGCTTCATAGGGGTACGCGGCTCTAGATCCCGCTCATCTAGAAATGAAGGGTCGCCGCTAGGCGTCGTCACGCTCGATCCCGACATTTCTCTCCCGACTCAGCTGCTCCCGTGACTTCGCTATCTAACCGATTCCGGAACAAACACCGTCCAAACTCAACGATCATACAACCATCTTTAAATTGAGCGCTACGATTTTTTTATTAGCCGATTCAATAAACACAAAACTAAACTGTGTTTATGTTAACATTCTGCATTTTGTTGTTTTGAGCTAAATTGTTAGATTTTTACTGTTCAAAAATGAATGCAACACACCAACCCACAGATACTATGTTGGTAGCAAGCCATCAGAAATCATAGAATATATATTATTGTAGCCAATAGCGAGATATTATATCTCTGTATCTACTACAAATGACAGATCTGTAGTAGATACAGATATGGATATCGACCAACGATCTCAGGCAAAGACCGTATTCTTTTAAACGACACACTGTATTTTTTAAATAGACGTTTAGAAGAATACGGTCATTACTTATATATGCTAAATAAATACAATAGAATCACTAGTCGTAGACACTATAAAACAATAAAGCAGATAAAAATCTTCATAGATACATTTATAGTAAAACAAAATTTTTATTAATGCAATGATTTATACAAAATAAATAACATTTTTACACGCGAATGCATACGTATTAAATAAATTAGAATGTGTAAACTTTAAATTAGAATTGCGGTGTTACAAGTAAAAAATACGTATAACACTTAAAAGTTGACACCACAGATTACTGTGGTTTCTACCTTAAAAAAATTGAGTGTATAGTATAATAGAAACAGTAGTAATTTTTAAGTCTCTAAGTTCTTTGCTTTCTTAAACCTCATATATATTTATAACGTGAATAATTGGTGTTGGAAATATCATATTTTATACATGGCCGAAAGGCCTCGTCAACTATTTTGTAAAATAAAATAATCTTAATGACATAGATGACAATTGTCACGATTTTAATGTCAAATACAACATAAGTAAAAGAGCATTATATGCACGTGGTTTATGTTGTTATTATTTAAATAAGAATTAAGATTGAAGCTCTCCACTTAGAAATCCATATCAGTTATAGGAAATGTTAATATCATGCCTCCATTCCGTGTGGGCCTATTAAAAAGAAAGTTAAAACACCCTATTGATGAAAGTAAAGATGCCGGCACCTGCTCACCGAGAGATGTAAGTATGGCAATTAACCAAAATTCTCTGCATAATAATCGTTGTCTTTTATATCTTCGATAGTACGCTGGTACATAGAATACTTTACATTGTATGTAGAATTTGACCAGTTACAGGTATATTTAAAAGTGTTAGTAAACTAAAATTTTAGTTAAGTTGTGCATATTTTATTCAGTTTAGTGGTAATAGTGACAACGACGACGAAGATTTTTTAAATGGCGAAATTCAAGATAACAAAGAAGATGCTACAGATTCAGAAAATGAAGCAGGCATCAACTCTGATACAGAACAAGATGTAAGTCAAGCAAATTATGTATACCATAATTTACTTGAATCCCATTGAATATAGCTGAATACTAATAATTGTTGTTTGCAGAAGGTCCTGTTCGAAGATGAAGTTGACTCAGTACTTGGTGATATTGATCATCAATCGTCATCAGGTGAATCTTCAGTATGTATGATTTCTATTCCTTTCATTTTTTATCAAGTCTCCCATTTACAGCAGAACCTCTATAAGTCGAACATCAAGGGAGACACCAAAAAATTTGAGTTATAGAGTTTTCGACTTAGGCAGATTTTGATTCGACATAAAAAGGTTAAGATTCATTCTTATAAATTTTAAATAAGAGAGGTAAATAAATGAAAGTTCAAGTTGCAGAGGTGACTCACATATTTATTGAAAGATGTGGAAGTTTTTGGCTTATTGAGGTTCGACTTAACAAGGTTCTACTGTATATGAGTTACCTGCTTGACTGTTATTCTAAACATTACCAAAAATTTATAGGAATTGACAGATTCTGAAGGAGATGATTCAGAAGGGGTGAGTTCAGAGAGTGATGAAAAAAACAGCAATAGTGGAGCTGAGTCAGCCAGGAATAGGCAAACATCAAATCATCAGAAAAATGCTGCAAAAAGTAACCTATTTCAAAACAAGAATAGCATTCATGTACTGGCGACCCAGATCAGTGAGGCAGCCATAACTACTAAACCTGTACAGCAGAGAGGTAACCGTTTTGTTTGGAACTTGACGCAGTGCAGTAATTATATTTCAAAATAACAAATAATGTCTTATAGCGACAGACACTTCAATAAATGACATAAATTTATAATTGCCAAGTATATATTGCCATTTTACCAACTTAAAAATAAATAGGTTCTCAATTTGCTTTAAACAGCAGATTTTGTTGGTTTTGTACTATAATTTGAGGTCTTCTCAACATTTATAGTAGCTACCTTGTGTTCAACTGAATTTCATTCTATTGATGCATAGCATTTGATATTGTAATTGGTGATGGTGTATGTACATGCAGACGAGTATGAATCTGGCGACACAAGCGATGAGGAAGATCGAGTGAACACGACGGGCGATGTGCCCCGTTGGTGGTATAGCGAGTATGAGCACCTTGGCTACGATCTCGACGGACGCCGCATAGCCCGCCCTCCGACCAGGGACCACATCGATGAGTTTCTAAGGTACTTGATCCTATACTTCTTTACTGTCTATTTCTCTGCTCGACTGTTTTACGTAATCATTCAATTGCAGAAAATGTGAAGATCCGGAGTTCTGGCGTACCGTAAAGGACCCCTCCACCGGTCAAGACGTGATATTGTCTAAGGACGATTTGAAGCTCATAGAGCGGATACGCAATGGCAACGTTCCCTCAGAAACGCACGACGAATACGAGCCGTGGACGGAATGGTTCACTCGCGAAGTGCTCGCGACGCCGGTGCGCGCCTTTCCTGAATCTAAGCGCTCCTTCCTGCCGTCGCGCTCCGAGCAGCTGCAGGTGTCGCGAATCGTGCACGCGCTCCGAATGGGCTGGACAAAGACTCGCCGTCAACTGGCCTCTGAAAGGCGCGCGCGGTCTCGCTCTCAACGCGCCTTTTACGACCTGTGGGGCGGGCCCGATCCAGACGCCGTGCAGCGTCGCGCCACTCCGCGTCACCTTCCAGCCCCGCGCCGCCCGCTGCCCTCGCACGCTGAGAGCTATAACCCACCACCCGAGTATTTGTTAGATAAGCGAGAGGTGAGTCACATTTTTTGTACTAAAATTTCAAAAGCATTTATTTGGTGCTACATAATATTTTCGCCGGAAGCATATAAGACCTCTATATAAGCACATAAGACTCCTATAATTTATGCGCATATGACATAGTTTAATCATTTGTAAGTTTATTTATTAACAAAATTGTTTTACTTGACTTAATGTTATCTAGGGGGGCAAAAGGCGACCAGTATTTTGACAATGAAGCAATGCTCAAAATTGTCCTATGTTCCTACGAACAACTGCTTACTATTCTGTACTCTTACCAACCTTAACAAACTGACAAACAAGCCATGGACACAGCCAGCAATATTGGATCTTTTATCTTAATTAAAATGAAATTCTTTTTGGCAGATGAAAGAGTGGGAAAAGCTGAAGGAGACCCCGTGGAAGCGCAAGTACACTTTCCTGCCGACACAGCACGGGTCGCTGCGCGAAGTTTCGGCATACCCGCGCTTCATTCGCGAGCGCTTTTTACGCTGTCTGGACCTGTACCTCGCTCCGCGTGCGATCAAGATGCGTCTGACCATCGACGCGCAGGACCTTGTTCCAAAGCTGCCCTCTCCGAGAGACCTCCAACCGTTCCCCACCGCCGAAGCGTTGCGATTTGAAGGTCATGAGGGACTTGTTCGTTCCATAGACCTTGACCCAAGCGGGCAGTACTTAGTGTCGGGCGGTGAAGACGGCACACTGCGCGTTTGGGAGACCTCGACCGGCCGCTGCTTACGAACGGTGTCGCTCGGTGAACCCGTCACGCGGGCCCTCTGGACACCAGTTAGCGGACTCAGCCTGCTAGCAGCCGCGGTGGGCCCAGAGCTGCTACTGCTAAATCCTGGCGCAGGTATCGGTGCGCATCGAGTGGCTGAGCGAACGGACCGACTGCTCGAGGAGCCGCCGCCGGCGCACGACGTTCAAATGGACGAACGCACGCGATCCTGCGTACAATGGCAGGATGTGACGACGGCGCGAGTCGCACTCGGCGTACGCCTCCAAGTGCACCACTTCAAGCCCTTGGCCCACGTCAGCTGGCACGCCCGCGGCGACTATCTGGCTGTGACAGTGCGTGACGGAGGCGCCCGCTCCGTCTGTGTACATCAAGTATCTCGGCGTCGCTCGCAGCTGCCCTTCCGCACCGCAAAGGGTCTCGTGCAGTGCGCCGCGTTCCACCCACACGAGCCGCGTCTCTTCGTGGCGACGCAACGTGCTGTGCGCGTGTACGATCTCGTGAAACAGGAACTGGTGCGAAAACTGATGACGGGCGCTCAGTGGGTGAGCTCGCTCGCGGTGCACCCGGGTGGCGACAACCTGCTCGTGGGCTCATACGATCGCAAGTGCATATGGTTCGACTTAGAACTGTCCGGTAAGCCGTATCAAACGCTGCGGTTGCACGGCGGAGCGGTGCGCGCCGTCACGTTCCACCGGCGCTACCCTCTGTTTGCTTCTGGCGGCGACGACCAGAACATCGTGGTATCGCATGGCATGGTGTACAATGATTTATTGCAGAACCCTTTGCTAGTACCTCTGAAGCAGTTGCGAGGACCGGAAAAGCGTGACGACCTGTGCGTGCTCGACTTGCGTTTTCATCCCACGCAGCCCTGGCTGTTTGCGGCCGGCGCCGATGGCTCAGTCCGACTCTACTCCTAGTTTCTATATATAATAATACTACACTAAAAGAACTTACTGTGATTGTTTATTATAAAGTGACTATGACTAAACTACATTTGCAGATTGATAATTGACATTACACACCTCTAAATTTGGATTTGGTTGTACATGAGCTTGTGGCAAAGCCTACCTACGTACTTAAAAGGAAATAACCACGTGTATTTAAGTTATATAGTTCGTAGTTGACCTTAAAGGTGGACCATTTCCTATTCATTGTTGTTAATAAATAACCACCTAGTGAACATTTTATAATAAACAAAGGCTTCAAGACTTTAATGTAAAACAGAACCGAAAAATAGTGATGTTCAAAATAAATAAAAAATAAGCTTTACTTTGCCTTCCGGGCGCCCTTTTCCCCCTCACTGCTCATTTTCTGGCGCTTCTTTTACATGAAATTCAAATTGTCTCTTAAAATTAATTTATTAATAGTAAATATCATTACGAAATTGTAATAAAAAAGAAGAGGTGGGTCGATTATGAAATATACTAATGAAATCCTTCGATTATGAAATGTTACAAATGATGATTAGTTACAATAGAGAAGGATAATTAGTAGTTACTAATAATTCTAAGTTAGGAGAACGCACTATGGCTTCTCGCTCGCTTTCACGCCACACACCAAACGTTAAGTACAATGTCGGATGTGAACCTTTTATTACGAGCATATTCTATTGGAAGACGATAAAATAATAAAACTAGAGGAATATTTGTTGATATTTTTCCGCTTTTTATTGTTTTTGTATTTAGGTTTCCCAAATAAGTTACTAGTTTCTTAGATGATCGCGGCAATTTCAGAAATCAGTCAGTCTGAAATAAAACGGTTAATGATTAACAATATTTCTTGGATTAAATGCAAAGATTCATAGGTTATTTAAATATTTGTTTAGAATTTTAAAAAGTACAAAATTGTCAAGTAATACATGAAGGAAATGAACATTTATTTATTAAAAGGTTATTTAAAACTAAAAGGCGTATGTACACTTTTAGACAATTAAAAAAGGTTAACATACTTTTAAATTTGATGAATCCACTAAAAGGTGAAAAGCGCCACGTCTCACAATATCGTAGTAAACAAAACAAACTACACCAGTAAATAAAAGTATCTATCATTGTTTCAACAACTAAAGTCAAGGAGCGCACGATTAGTATTACTAATTAGTAACATCATTCGATTATGAAAACAAATAAGTTACTAATCCCATAATCGATTACCAACATTAGTAATACAAAATAAAAGTTTAGCTGTATTAAACTACAACAAATGTTTCGAATTGAAAAAACAAAGAACATAGATATTAGTAATAGTATTTACCAGCTGTTAATTTAATCGATGTTTAAATAAAGTTTGCCCTACTTTCACAGATAGTGCAATATATCCATAAACATCACATTTAATTTTTTTAATTGTATAAAATTTGCTATTTCAACATTACGAAAAATACGGATACGTACAAACGTATTATTATTATTAATTTCTTACTGAGTAAATTAGATTGTTTTAACACCATGGCTAGTTGCTCTATCAACCACCTCGTTACATACTATAATGTACAACATTGTACCTATATGCGAAAAGACTTTTTGCTCAACCATTATTTGTGTAGGCAAATATCAAATCACGGTATGTCCACCATAAACGAAACTTGGGAAATGAGAGAAATGTGTTTTTAGCTACTGATTACTGTATTTCATGGAAATTTCAGCAATTGGGGATTTATATAGGCGTTAGTGAGTATAAGGAATATATAAAAATAAAGTTTTAATAAGATATTATGCTTTAAAACCATGTTAAAGTTTGGACATATCGGTGTTTGATTGAAACTAAAAGCATTATATCGGAGTTTGAAAAATACCACTATGGACGTAACGGGTGTTGAAAAATAGCTACAGACTTACTTGGTTTTGACAAATCTATATTAATCCCATAATTAGGGTTGCTTCATCATAATATTTTACTAAACCGTAAAATAAAACACAGATTTTTTTATTACCATGTAGTAGTTTAATTTAGTAGATTAATAAAACAAAATCTAAGATCTCGTCCATGATATAGTCTTCGGAATTATTTATTATGTCTTCTTCCCTGTCACCAACTAGTTCTGTTACTTTGCAAGAATTGTATAATATTTCAACTGAGGGATGTGATACCAGTCAGTGCCAAAATGTTTATGAAATATTTTTTTTTATATCTTCAATTTTATAGAAGGAACTATGTCAATCTTGAGTATGAATATTGATCATACTTTTTCCTTTTTCTAATAACGAAGCACTATTTCGTTATACGTTCGTATTCGATAATACGTTTACAATATTTACTTATCTCAAAATGGAAAGAACCTTTTAAATGATACACACACACATACATACATTTTAATAGAAAAAAAAAAAAAATTCAAATGTTTAATTCTTAACATTTGTACAACCCTGGTTTTCAAAACGTTAACGGTTGCAAAAACTTTACTTAGGATTTGCTTTACTTTTTAGCCTTCTTTTCGACTTATTCTTCTTAACATTTGACACATACATCTTCTTTGCTTTTTCAGGATTCAGCACACAAATTCTTACATTGTTATCATGCATTTTCCCCAAACAATCAATAAAATAACGACAACGAAGTGTAAGTTCTCAAATATCTTCTAACTAACAGCCATCTTGGACGCTAAATTTGCTGTGATTGGTCAATGTGGACTTACTTGAGTTTGATTTTAACTTATCTATAGACATACCGGAGTTTGAAATAAATCGTCGATTTTAACCTTCGTTTTAGTGAGTTTTTTGGGGACTTACCGTGATTTGGAATAAAGTATCATAAAAACAAGTAAATTTCAAATTTAGCGCCATTCATAGTTCAGTTTCGACTATGGGTGTGACTTATCGGGGTTGATTTTACCTACACATTTATACTTCATCCATAACCTGCAAAACCCAACTTAGAAATGTCAAAACATTTCATAATATGTTTCGGAAAACGAAGTAATTATATATATCAAAAAATAATTACAGAGTTTAATCAATGATATTTGAGGCGCAAAGTAAAGTAGACGGGATGTTTCGTTACTTTTTTAAAGCCTCAAAACCTCTTCGAAATAAATTGGTACGGAAGTATTTTAATATAAAAATAAGTGGAGTGGGAGTACAATAATATATTTCAATGAACTACCAATCCAATTTATGTAATTTTATTCGAATTAGATTCGTGCAGTGGGCGGGAATGGTAATGCCTTTGAACAAAATAGTGTGACCAAAGAACAAAAGCTAACAGAGGTACTAAAGCGAGCAATGCCGGGAATCACCTATGTCAGCATCGAAGATATCTCCGGTGGATGTGGGGCAATGTATGAGGTAAATTGACTGCAATATATAGAACACATTTAGGTCTTCCTATGAAAATATAATGAAATACTATGAAGTATAACTTTAAAGAGATAATTAATGTTACAGATTAGTATAGAAGCAAAGGAATTTGTTGGTTTATCAAGAGTGAAACAACACCGCCTTGTTACTGATACCTTAAAAACTGAAATAGCTGAGATGCATGGCATAAGAATACATACGGCATTACCTGTTTTGGAGAAATGAGATCCTTCCTTAGTTAACATTTTGTAGATATTTGTGCATATGTGGTGGTACAAAAAACTATTATAAATATTTATTAAACTCAAAATAACCTTTAAAGATTGAAAACTGAGTGTGTTACTTATCTCAATCACTACCAATATTATAAAGATGAAAGTAACTTTGTCTATCTGTCTTTCACGCCAAAAATACTGAACTGATTTAAATGAAATTTGGTACACAGGTATTCTAGAGCCTGAGAAAAAACATTGGCTACTTTTTAATGCCAAAAAAGGGATGTTAAGCGTTGAAAAGGGGGATAAAAGTTTGTATGGAAATTCGTGATTTATGAAACTAGACCAATGAAACTTTCTTCTTTAACTTTTTGGAAATGGGAGTGAGAGTGGGAGTTAGTATATTTGTGAAAATGGGAGTAGGAGTGCGAGTGTTGCGGCAAAGTAGCACTTACAACACAGATTGACTGCCTTGAATGCACCATTTTCCATGACAAGTTGTGTAAAACCTTTTGGTGTGCGAAAAAAAGGTAGTAAGGGGTTGAATGAGGTATGAAAAGTTGTGTGGATAATTGTTATAGAACTTACTAATATTATAAATGCGAAAGTAACTATTAAGCTGAAATAAGCATATAAATATAAACAATACCATGGATATATTTATTATGAATACCTTAATGCACAGCTAGTTTAATATAAAAAATAAAATTCAATTACGCCTCAATCACAATAACTAATGTGTCTACTGATAACTAAATTATGGATGTTTCTACCCATGGAACATATAACACATACATATAATATAAGATAGGGTTGAAAGCCATGAATACAATCAAAGAACATATTTACTCTATACAAGACTAGCAGTATGCCCCAGCTACTCCCAAACATTTTCTTTTGATTTTGCAAAGATTTAATTAAACAAGTTAATTTATGAAGAAAACCATATAAAATCTATAACTTACTAAAAACCCATGACGTCGTCCGCTTCCCGTGCTTCTTGTGAGTCAATCTTACAGGATAGACATATAATGTTGCATAATTTTTTTTTATTTTTTAAAGGAGAATCAGTCTTTCATACATATTTTTTGGTTCATTGAACCATTTTCATAGGGCACTCAACAGAAGCTATAGAAGATAGACGATTTTACCCGATTTTACCACTTTCTCCTGTTTCTTCGCTCCTATTGGTCACATTGAAATAGTCAGCTGATGAATTGGACTGATCACCCGGCCTTCAACAGGTGTCCCTGATTGAAAATAATTGGTCACATTGCCTGATGTTTAAGCCTAAAACCTTCCTTGAGAAAAGATAAATAAACAAAATTTGACTTTCTTCTGTTTAAAATTTCAAAAATTATTTAGATTCGTCAAAAGATGTTTGTCTGTCTGTCTGTCTTGAATCTAGTGTTCAAAAAGCAACTTAACCAAGAAGAACACCCAACAAACTCAGTCGGGCTTTTGTAACCATGTTTTGAGTGAGCCGATTAACCTACGGTGCAATTCATATCACTACCAGGCATCCTTGTCATTAAAGTAATCGTTCAAACAATAATGCGCCTTTTGAGACAATCAAAATTGTATGACTTTCAACTGCCAATGTATTCTACATATGAATAGAATTCCCCTCAAATGAATTAGTTTTTTTATGAAGCCTATATTTGGGGATAGGTACCTAGTTTATCCTTCTTTCTTAAGTTCAAATTATGTCTATCACCATTCTTGCTGAACTTGCTTTTATTCTTATGGGCATACTTAAATATTTTCATAAATATATTGGGAGTAATGACTCCCGAGATCCTATACTATAGATAGCCCGGACCGTCCTTTTTTCACTTTTTGCAACCGAAAGACGCATTCAATATCGGCAGCGTTACCTCACAGTAGTATGCCGTATATCATAACACTGTGGAAATAACTGAAGTACACTAGACGCGCTGTTTTAATATTTGTTAATTGCTTGATCTTTTTTACGGCATAGGCTGTAGAACTTAGTTTGCTCGAGGCTTTCCCGATGGGCTAAGGAACACTAAAATAATTTTATCTAGATTTTAACGAGTTCAAACAAACAAGATTTATAACATTAGTATAGAAAAGGCAAATTTAGCTTAGAGACTCCATCTCAACTCGAATATTATAATATTACGTTATATTAAATACTGTCTATAGTTTACGCGAGTAGTACACATTTGAATAAAACACTTTTAAAAAAACGGGGTCTCCCCGTGACCACGGCTGCTGCAAAGCATCCGAAACGTCGGGCCGAAGTTAAAAATCATTTTCAAATAAGTTTAACTAATATATCGCGTTTTAAACCGTTAAAGTGTTTTATTTAAATTACGTTATATTATCGTTACATTATAACATTCATGTTAGTTAGTCGCAATGAAACCATTTACGCGATAAACGCATAAACATTTAACAAAATAATGTATTTAAACCTTCAAGTCGTTCTTAGACAGCTATTTAATTTGCAGCTGGCTTGCGACTAATTTTTGCTTTGCCAGTATATAAGAATTTTGTCTATAGTTCACGCGAGTAGTACACATTTAAATAAAATACTTTTAGTTTAACTAATATATCGCGTTTTAAACCGTTAAAGTGTTTTATTTAAATATAAGAATGGTTTTATTCTGTGATGGCACCACAGTGAAGGAAATGTCAATAGCTTATGAATGTCAAAATGGCCTAATTTCCTCTTACTCTTGTTTTCAAACGTCAACAACATGGCGCTCAATCTAGTGGTTAAAGTTCATCCTGTTGTTTTATTTCAAATTGTGGATGCTTACGAGCGACGAAATGCCGATTCGCACCGCGTCATCGGTACCCTCTTGGGTGATTATTGAATTTTCTTATTGATGTAATTTGACATGGACCATGTAGTAAAACATCTCTTTCTCTCGGGCTATTTTGAGTTCTTCAGCTAGTACAGTTTAGAGTAAATTACTTTTGTATCAAGTTTAATAGTTGGACCTTTGTCATTTTCATTAATTTATTTAATTGATTGTTGTAAAAGAATAGTAAAAGTAGGCGGTGTGAAGTACTATTATAGGTTATGTCGCAGGTACGTCGGACAAGGGAGTCGTGGAAGTAACAAACTGCTTTTGTGTGCCGCACAAGGAGCACGCAGACCAGGTCGAGGCCGAGCTCAATTATGCTATGGACGTGTACGAATTGAACCGCAGGGTCAACGCCTCAGAAAATATTGTTGGTAAGATTGTTGTCTGAACGCGCTAAGTCCAGGAACTACTGCTTCTAATGGAAAACATTGGAATGTTGGTTAGAGCAGTTATCGAAGAAGGTTAAATAAGGCTATATAAAACATTGAGTTGCGACTTATACGAGTAAAGAAACAACCAAATAAACTGGAATAATTCTTCAACCTTGTGGGTTTCCATTGCGTACCCTGCAATAATGGTTCAAAATACCCAAAAAATATGTACTAAAGACTTTGAATTTTCCTCTTTAAATTATCTAAGAAAAAAGCGCAATAGTGTAAGAATATGTCTACTATTTAAGACAGAACACGACAAATTACAAACAAATTTGCCTTAAGTTTGTAACAACGAACGTTAAATGCAGTAGAAATTATAGTATAAAAGATGAGGAAATAGGTTTTGTCGAAAATGTTGTTTTTGGGTATAACTCTATTGTAAACTCCAGTGGGGACCACACATTAAAAATTTTCAAATAAACTAAGCTCTGCAGCCTTTGCTGTAAAGAAAATACGACATCTTACTGATGAAAATACAGCCAAGCTTGTCTACTTGAGTTACTTCCAAAGTGTAATGTCTTATGGTAACCTTTTGTGAGGCAATGCAGCCGATATTAGAAACGGGCTATTCGATCGATTTGTGGTCTTTCCCCATGAGAGTCTGTTCGATATAAGTTTAAAGCATTGAATATCCTAACGCTGGCAAGTCAATATATCTATGAAAATGTTTTGTATGTGAGGAAAAACATAGATACTTTTAAAATTAGGACAAAGTAAGTGTACCAAACAAAATGCTCCATAAAAGTAGTAGTTCTTTTCAAGGTAACTGCATATGATACTTAAATAAAACCCCCAGCGAAGTGCAAGCACTCTCAATAAATAGGTTTAAATCATATGTAAAACAAAAACTGTTTGAAAAGGGTTATTATCACATTAATCAATATTTAAATGATAAAAATGCTTGGGGTGTGGAGGAGGTTTCTCTTACAAGGAAAAATATGTAGTGCATTAAAAGTAAATCAAGAATGTAAAATGAAACTTGGATATAAGGAGTGACGGCGAGTTTATTGCCAGTTCTCGTTCGTTCTACGCCCTTGATTTGAGAACTGGTAGTAAATGTAAAGATTCTTTAAATAAATGATTTTTGACTTTGACTTAAATGCCCAAAGTAACTACGCGGACAAAGTCACTGACATAGCTAGTGTAGTATAAGAATAGTGATGACTCTCCTGCTGCAATGCAAACGATTATATAGAAGACTAGCTGAGGCAACAATTTCGTCTGCATAGAAGAGTTATTTTGGGCATCAAGTTTGGATTTGCCAACTCCTTTATCTTTATAAAGTTAAGCTGTTACCCACGACGTCGGTCGCGCCCCTTCCCGTGGTTCTTGCAAGTTAATATTAAATGATAGACATATACAGATTATTTTAAGTAATTTAAAAAGGAATCATTCAACTATTGATGAATAAGTTTGTAAAATTGTATCTTAGCTTGTATTAGTCACAGAGCAAATGTTTTATAGCCTTTCTTGATAAATGCTCTAACCAACACAAAATTTTTAATTCCAACCCAAGTTGCTGAGATAAGCTCGTTCAAATAAATACAATACAAACAAAAGCAAACTCTTCAGCTTTATATATTAGTATAGATATAGTAGTTGGGTTGGTAAAATTTAAAAACCTTTTTTATTCATAATAATAATAAAATCATTTATTTCCACAGTTGCTTATAGAAATAAAGTCTGTGAACTAATATTAACTTAATACAAAGTATAGCAAGCTTAACAAAAAATAAATGTGTATGGCAACTCGTCCTTCATGTAGTAATTACTTTTTTTTGGTTTTCCTGTATTACAATTGGTACTTTATAAAATTTACAATTTATATTCACACTTATGTGAAAGGTTCAAAGCCACAACCATCATGGTGTCTAATACAAAGTGTGCAGTAATATTATTCCCAATGTGCAGGTTGGTGGGCAACAGGTAACGAGGTAACAAATCACTCGTCTGTTATCCACGAGTACTACTCACGTGAGTGCCGCGAGCCAGTTCATTTGACGGTCGACACTTCTCTGGCGGGTGCCCGCATGGGCCTTCGCGGATACGTGTGCGTCTCACTTGGCGTGCCGCGAGGCAAGCAGGGTTGCATGTTCACGCCGGTCGACGTGGCGCTCACGTGCTACGACCCTGAGGTGGTTGGCCTTCAACTGTGCGCCAAGACCGTATCAGCGGGACGATCGCGCACCGTGCAGCCCATGAGGGACCTGGCGCAAGTGGCCGAGGCCGCCGGGAAGCTCTCGTCGCTGCTGGATCAGGTGGTGCAGTACGTAGAGGATGTGGTGAGCGAACGCGCCGCCGCGGACAAGGCCGTCGGCCGACAGCTGCTCGAGCTCATAAACTCCGTGCCCAATATGGCCGCGGACACCTTCGCCGACGCGTTCGCCTCTAGTGTTAAGGACTCTCTCATGGTCAGTATTTTAATATCGATTGTGGAGATACATATAAACAGAACAAAATATGCTGTCATCGAGAATGTGTTTGAAGTATCTCTATCCATAAATTTTTTGTCTCATTTGCTTTATGCAGATGACACTAAAATATTTAAAGTCATAAATTCAATTAACGATTGTATTGACATTCAGAGTGATCTTCAGTCTTTTGAAAATTATTGTTATGAAAATCAATTATTTCTGTATGTAGAAAAGTGTAATACAATAACTTTTGTCGCAAAAATAACCCTAGAAAATATGACTACAAATTAACCAGCTTGGAGGCACTCTTGATTCCAAGCTACAATTCTTTTAAAATATTGGGTTTCATATTAAGAATTTCCAAGCCTTTAAAAAAGACTACAATTTTAAAAGTACTATTTAACGCATATGTACGGAGTTTATTAGAATTTTGTAGTGTAACCTGGCGTCCCCAATATAATAATCATATTAGTAGATCAAAACAAATTCTTAAAATCGTTAGATTATAAATCAGGTTCGAATTTCGTGAGTTCCAACAGACACACATCATAGTCACGACAAGGTCACGCCGTGACCATTTAGATGCTATTTGTATGTACAAACTAATACATAGCAGTATAGACTCTATACCTATTCTCGAGCAAATCGGTTTTAAAGTCCCCCCGCTCTTCTTCCCGCATCAAGGAGACATTTCACATTCCCACAGCGGGCACTAACTACGTGAAAAATAGTTTCATTATAAGAAGCTGTGATTTTTATAATAAGAATTTGAATTCAGTCGATATTTTTTCTAGTGGTATCTTTAAATTCAAAACTTGTAGATCTAAATTAATACTTAAGTCGTAGTTGCAAAATTATTGTTCTTACTTTTTAGATATTTTCTTTTACTGTGTATCTGTTGTATTTACGTCACGTATATATAATTAAGTGAAACTTTAGGTCAATTTGTTTAAAGTTTTAACTAATCCATTGTTTTCTAAGTGACTGTTTGTTTCTTTTCCAAATAAAATAAAATAAAACAATTAGTAGAGTAAAAAGGCTCGGAACACTACTTGCGTTTCAATCTTGCTATTTTAAAAGTAATCAATATTACGAATGAAAACTTTTTGTTTTCTTGTGTTTGCAGGTGGTGACTCTCGCGCAACTTATTAAGACGCAACTACAACTCAATGAGAAACTGACTCTCCTTACCTCACAGTGAAAAAGGGCCATCATAGTAATTTGATTTACTTAAGCGTCTTGTAAAATATAACTCCTTTTAATAAATACTTACATACAGTGTCGAAATTTATTGCATTAATTTGTATTCGACAATAACAAAATATTTTGTACGTCATACACTTATATGAGTAGTCGTCTAGGTGATGTAGAGACGCGGATCGTCCGGTATCGACCGCCGCTCGTGGGCGCGCCATACCCAAGCCGGTCGCACCTTTCGGGCCCCCGTGGGCGTTTCGCAGTCTTCGTCGGTCATACATATCACGTACTGCACATCGCCGCATGCCTCCACTGCTGCCTCCTGCAGAATAAATGGCCGATGAGACGATGAGAGTGAGTCTCGGTCCATTATGGAAAATTTATTTACGAACTGGATTGAAAACTAAAATATTTTATACATGTCATTGCACACCGGGTGGGACTCGGTAGCTCCCGTCCTGCCCGAGTCGAAAATTTTTCCAATTTATTGTCGTTTGTAAATCTATATAGGACCACGGATGTTATACGGTAAATCTGATGAAGGTGTCAGTATCAAATTCACCAACCACAGATGTTTCTGTAGAGTTGAAAAAGTGGTTTTGCAATGTAAGGTGCGACTTCAGCGCGGAATAGGTCCACGAAGTACAACAATGTTATAAAAGGGCACTGACCGGGAGGACGATGGCGCCGTATGCTCGTAAATACCGCTCGACGAGGGCACGGCGATGTGACAAGGGCGAAGCTCCTTGTATTAGACAAGCGCATCCCGATAGGAAGTCGTTCAATGTCTGCGCACGTATAATCAATTGTTTAATTACTGACAATGACAATTATGACGAGCTCGTTGGTTTAATAATCAACCAGGCGTGGGTTCGATCCCCACCGGATAGAACATGTTTGTAAGTTTAATCGCCTAATCGCGTTTCGGTTCCAGCCTGTGGCACATCTAAAGCCAAAATAAAGGTCGACAGTGCATCTTGTTTAGATGCTACAGGCCGGGGTATATCACCTACCACCAAGTCAACCCTGTGCTTATCTGTTCTCACTTGATAAAAGATTAAATGACGAATACTAACCTTACTCGGTCGTACGACGTCATCGTAGCCGACGCGCGACTCCGTTTCGGGCTCCGTGGCATCTCCGTCCTCGTCGCGGGACAGCTGTGCGCGCACCTCCTCGATCTCGTCCTCGGTGTCCACGTCTGCAGTTATTCCGCAGTAAGAAATAGTTCCCCGCGCATTTACAATTAAGTCGAAAATTTGTTACCTGAAGGCTCACAGGGTTCCGGAGAGGCGAGAGCGGCCGAGCTCCGAGACGGTTCCGTGGCGTATTGGTGCCAGGGCAGGCGGCGCCGCTCTCGCTCGCACGCGTCGATCCATTCGCCGAGCACTACGCGGCACGGGGTGCCCGACTCGCGCACCGCTCGCAGCTTCGGCGTGTTCGGAAAGGCGCAAACGAGGTGCGTGCACTGCGCCGTGTAGTCGGGCACGTAACGCGCGCCGAGCCTTACCGCCGCGTCGCGTAGCGCGGCGCGACGCGGGTTCACGTAACCGCTCAACGCGAACACGACTCCGCGCAGCACCGCGCGCAGCTCGTCGCGACCTGTTCGCGCTTCTTCTGTCATCGCTGTACATACATACAATTAGGTGCAATTAATACCAAAAAATGCTACGATACATATTTCACTACAATGGCACATTTTATTCTTTCAGTGTCATAAAAAAACTTACCATCACTATTCTCAACTTTTCTACGTTTAGACGGTTCACCTCGCTCTAATTGCCTGATCTGTTTCGTTTCGATTCCAACTGTCTCGTCATTTGTCTTTTTCCTCTTACGATTTTTGTTAGTAATATCAAGTGAATTTTCCTTCGTGTGATCGTTAGTCGTGTCGCTTTTCCTTCCATCATTAAAAACATTGATACCATTGGCACCAACAATGCTGCTAGGTTTTTGCACAACATTGTCAATCTTTAAATGGGGTCCTTCCTCATCTTCTACATAGAGCAATTCATCTCTATCCCGTCTTAGGTGTGTTGCTTCTCCATGTGATCTCTTCTTTATATCGTTACAGTCTTTCTTTTTACTAAAAAGAGCTTTAGTCAGCTTAGTACGGGATTCTTGAACATTGTTTGAACAAGTGGCTTGTTTTATTTGTATTTCTGAAATATTAACACCCATTTTTATGTACAACTTTAAATTACTTGTTTTAAACAATTATAAATTATATTTAAATATAGTGATTGTTATTTCTCAAATATAATAAAAATTCTAATTCAAAAGGTATAAATAAATTACCAGTCTCAGCAGTATTGGTGTAGGCGCGATGTTTGGCAAACAATTCTCCTGGTCGAAATTCCTCCTCATCGGATGAGCTAGTTTGGGAAGCCAATATTCCGCTACGCGCAGTAAAGTCGCCGAGCTCGGACTCAGTGCTGTCAGTCTCGGACGAAAATATGTGGATGAACGACACTCCATACTGAAAAGACACAATGAAAAGCCTCAATTAAAAAGCATAACTGAAAACCACAAGAGTTGCTATAACACTAGGTTCACGGATGACAGTGTTCGGATCTGGTGTTGGGCCACTTTTATAAAATTATTTGCATATTATCACGTATTACATTGGAAAAGAAAACCACTGACACAGAACACAGCTTTGCACTCGTAAACCCATAATTTACACCCTTGATAACCTTAAAGAGTATGAGAAGAGAGAAGTAATATCATTACCTTACAATGTTTGTTGTATGGCTGCGAGCAAACAACGCGTATCCGGTTCCAACGGCATTCGCGTGCGCTCGTTAGCTGCTCGCCTGTAAAATTCCGCACGCGCTCTACTCGTTCCTCGCGGCGCGACTCACTTGCCGGGACAAACACGCAGCTCGGAATTAATACCTGTGTCAATCATTATTAAGATGCATCCTCTAAATTCTTCTTAGAAGTATACTATCAAATATCCAAAGTCAAAACAGGTGGACAGCAAATCTTATTATGATCCTTCTTTCCAGTGAACCCCACGCTTATCAGTCCTCTACAAAAAAGACTAAGTTGTATCTGCAAAAATGGCAGTATTCACTCAAATTATATTTCTTCGGAATAAAAGGACTCCATAACTGTTAAAAGAAATATATATGTAATAAAACTAACTCATACTGTCAGTAAAAGTAAAAAACATTCACTACCTCAAATGGATCACTTGGTTTCTCAGAGAGTCCAACTAAAACTTCGACTAGTGCACTATGATATGCTCCGATATGAATAGATTGGATCTGAAAAGGACATTTCTCCATGAAACACTACTATCATTGACCAATAAATATACCTACTAATTAATACCTCAAATAAATTACTAAAAACTAAAGGTTTTTCATACCTGGATTGCTTTAGACAGTTGGAGGACAATGGAACAGGAAGGCTCTCCTTTCTTGCAGAGCCATTTACGTTTGTTCACGCCCCAAGAGAGAAGGTTGCTAGCAGGGTTATCCTGTGATTATAATAACGACTAAGTTGTATCAAAATAAGTTTGACTACAAATTAACCTGTACCCGAGCCACACTCATATAAAAACACAGTATTGTAGAAATATAATGAACATTAAAATCAGTAGTACACGTTAACATAATAACAATGTAGGGATGATTCCCATCTCATTTAATAAAATAAACGTACGGAGTCTTCACTGCTAAAACTAACAACGTAATCTATTTTCACCCTTGGCATTTTTATTTCTCTAATTAAATAGATTGTAATTGTTGTAAATAAGTTTACATTGCTCTTTTATCATAAAAATATGTATGTCATAGTATGCCTAAAGGTTAGAATTTTGTTTTGAAGCATAGATGGGATTGACAACAACCAAAGACTAAAGATAAAACACCGCATACATATATAATCCTCATAGATTTTCCAGAGATTATCACAGACGACAGTCGTAGTTATGTCTGTAGATTCTTTTTAACCCTTTTTCCGAGACTTAAAAATAATTTCCCCATTTTATTTTAAAATTAGCATTAAAAATAGGCTCATTTTTATCATTCCAAAGATACAAATGCCGTGTATTCTGTGCTGTGACGTGTGTTTTGACTAATCAATTTAATTAAATTCTGGCATTCGGGGCATTGTATTATAATCTTAATCCGCTTTAATGTAAGTTCGATTATTTTTTTACTTTACTTGTAATTAATATTAATTCATATAGATTTAAAGATATATATAAATGTGCTTACATATTTTTGACCTCGCGTAGACGTGGTATTATTGTAATTATTAAGAGAGGCGTTTATTCAACACGTACGTTATAAAGCTGTGGAAATAGTTTATTTGTATATTAAAAGTGCTTAAGTAAAATATCGTGTAAAAATAGTGTAACGTTTATTTAAGTAACGCTTCCTTTAATAAAAAAAAAAATCCACAATAATTGTAACATTAAATTAAAAAGCGTAATGCACAGCATGTCGCTATACAAATGGCTTGTCTCGTACAAAATATCTTTTCCCTCCTAAACTTAGAAGTAAGTGAACAATTTAACCATGTCTTTCGCCGACACACATATTACAATAGTTCCCTTGGGTAATGCCAACGTACTTGCTAAGGCTCGACTTAAAAACAAACCATTAAGATTTATAAACACAAAGAGAAATTAATACGAGTAAGGTCATCTAGCGAGTATTGTGGCACAGCACAATGCGATCGCGTTTATTCCCGGGTTATTTTGTATTTGTGAATTCTAAAGACGATAGGTTCCCTTTTCGGCCTCGGTGTGGGGGTCGGCTCTGCCGTGGGGCGTTTGTGGTACGTGTACCCGCCTTTGCTGTTAGGACGCGCGTATACCACCACAGCCTGAGCGTCCTCTTCGGACGCGCCTAATGACTGGGAAGATCCAGAATCGGGATATTCATACGGCTCATAGTATTCCATGTGCGCGGAGGCATACCCTTGGAGGTCTCTATTAGGGAATGAAGCGGAAGCCATCGTCGGGTAACGCGGCCTTTTAGGCATCATGTACTTCTGGATGGGCTGCGGCGACAAAAGTTGCAGCACGGGCAGCGGTGAGTGCAAAGGAATAGCAGCGTACGCGTACTGCCCGTAACCTTGACCGTGCCTCGCGCTCGCTTCGCCAGTATTGAACCAACATAGAGCCAGCAGCACTCCGCTCCTCTGAAAGCGAACCGAGCTCACAATAAGTACAAATTTTACGACGCACACATATATGGTTATGGTGGTGAGGTACTCACGAAATAGTCCATGTTGTGGTTCTAATAGGCCGTGTGGCGTCAGGGGCTGCAGGACGGCGACTGATCGGCGAATGGTGATCGCGGGCGGTGGTCACTGGCGGTGGCTTCGCGTGCCTGTCGCGACCCATATCGACAAGTGCACACTACCTGCATCCACTGTTAATTATGACTAACGAAATCGGTGACGAGTCACGAGCGAAGCGGTATTTGTACCGCGGTCCCGGATATCAGACCTAAAATAAAATATTTGTTTATTATCATTTATGAATGTTTAGTACTGTTGGATTTGGAAGAGACCCAATTCACACAGGTTATACACATATTAAATTTACGTACTCTTTATTTTATTCTTACAGAAGGTAGACAAATAAGAGATTGTAATTTCTTATAAGAGGCCACCGATACTTAATTATGTAGATAAAGAAATGTATAAGTAGGTTCTAGCATTTATTACGTCACGAATAATATTATAGTTTTGTGTGACTTAGGCGGTATACCTGCGTGCGCCGTTGGGTAAGTAACCAAAAGACAGAGTCGGCGCTTGGTATTTGACAGGCGCGCGTGTCTGCACCGCGCCGTTCCGCGTTTTTCGTCTTGCGCCGGCGCATCGCATTTCCTTCCGCGTGAGACGGTCACTATATCACTGCTAATGGTCTATCTATCATCGTTTAACTTTTCCTCTGATGTTCGCTACGTTTCTAAAGAAAGTACAGAGAACGTAGACTTGGGTTGAAAATGTCATTATTCTCAACTAATTGTGTGTTGTTAATAAATATGGACTGTACATTAGGACAGCGATAGAAGTATTTAATTATCGTATCGGCAAACTTACCGCAGAGTCTGCGTTACGATAGATCTCTCGCAATTCCGCAGTGGACTGTACATAAAAAATAGTAAATAGATCTGAATTTCTGCCAAATTTCGTAATTCGATCGCGTTGTATTGCGTTAGTTAAATGTAGCAGTAAAGGCTCGTCGCGAATTTGGAAATTTTAACGATTCCATCAGGTTTGTTGTGGCACGTGCGACGCCCTCGGTCTCAATTCCGACCAGGAGGTTTATCATTTGTATCACGTCAACGTTCTGTTACCTCACAACTCAAGGAAATAAAAAAATCTTATAAAATGTAGGGACGATTTGAGTTGGCATTTGTTAAAGATAATTGCAAAATCAAAACGTGTAAAAAATAATCGAAAAAATTGGTCATTGATGGGATAAATATAATTAATTCAACGACAACGCGTGGGATAGGATATCTCGATTATTGGTACAAGAATAACATCTTAAGTAGATTTTTAATGTAAGTATGCGTACCTTTGAGGCTTTAAGTTTTACTTTAAAGTCAAAAAGTCCTAGGGGTTAAAACAATAAATGAATTAATATGAAAATAGTTTATTCTTACAATATAATGTACTAATAAGAGGATTTGGTAGATAAGTGCTCATGGTCGGCTGGTGTTTGTGCTTCTTATGAAGTGGAGCTGGATCCTGGCCGAATGGATTTTTAATCGATGGTACCAGCTCTTGAAACCATGTAATTGACTATTTGTACAGCTTAATTAATTAGATGGGTCACTTCACCACCAGCCTGACGAGTAGGAGGATCCGAGAGAGTAATGTGGTTCCTCCACGATCTTGGAAACCTTAACGATCTGAGGGACCGAGACGACCTTAGGCACGGACACCAGCTTCTTTACCTCGACCACCTGAAACGGAAACGTGTTTTAGTCGATTCTAAGGTTATATTTAGTCGGTTACAACAGGATTAAGATCTCGACAATAAGGTGGACAGGACACAGCACCGGAGTAAGGCAAGTTTTAAATATTAAAGAGTGGAACTGACCCTTGGCACTTCGACAACCTTGTTGACGGAGACGATCCTCGCGGCGGGCGCCGAGTGCAGAATGGGGCCGTGGAAGTGATCGAAAGAGTCGTACGAGTGCAAGTCCAGGGAGTGGTGCACGTCGCCGTGGAGGAAACCGCGCTTGTCGCGTTTGCCCTCGGGGGCGGCGAAGGCGCCGCACACGGCGGCCAAAGCGACGATACACATCTGCAAACAATTAGGGCGATTTAATACAACGCCATCTCTTCATTCATTGCGCATTGTATTGTATATTGCCATTGCAGTTCAGGCGAGTTGTACACAATCAATGAGACACTTTCGAGTACTTACGAATGATTTCATGTCGATGCAAGCCTTTGAATCGTCTGTGAGGAGTTTGAGAGGATAGAGGACTCGAGTGAGTGATACGGTTGCGAATGCGTTAGAGGATTATATAGCGGCGATGCGTGCGCTCGCGCAACCCAAGTTGCGCAAATTTTTGCTCCCATAATAATTAATTAATATGAAGTTCAGAACGAAGCTATCGTGTATCGTGTGTTGTTTCATTTGCCAACAACTTGTCGCAAATACGAAACAGTAATAATTTACAAAGAAAAACTGAAACTTAATCATTTTGTAATTTCTAAAGACAGTGGGCACTTTACCCGTTAAGTTTCCCTCTCTCTTTCTTATTTGGGATTTTATTGAGTAATATCTATAACTTATCGAATACACCGAAATGAAAAATGTAGTAATTTGCGTTGTGTCGCTCAATAATACTTTGTAATGATACACAATCCGATCAAAATGGTTCCCTGGCTAACGAGCGTAAAATGTTTCCCATTCTTAGATATTCCAAGTAACCGCTTATTGGTTTTTAGCATTAATATTTGTATATATAGACAATCTTTGAATTGTTATTTTTTTATGTATTATTAAAGTAGGATTTCTATTGAATGTGAATATTTTAGTGCCTCTGTTACAAATACAAATAATAATTAACAAGTAAGGTAGGGCCATAAATTATTCTTGTTATTTGTGTCGTCTTTTAAATGTTTTCACTATATTTTGTTATAATTACTAAAAATAGACACAATTTATGAAAATTAATCTGAAAATCTATAAATGTTAATTTACAGATGATAGTGATAGCGTTAGATCGAGTTTCGAGTGATTGTTCTTATTGAAAATGATGAGGCAACTGGCAATGCGTAAGCGCAGCCTCGCTCTGGGGTAACTAGATATTCGACAGCACCCGCAACTACCCAACGCTACTCGGCGTATTAAGTCGCTGGACTAGCACAGAGCGAGCGGCGCGAAGCTGGCTTTCGATATCGACACATTTTTTCATACAACTGATACGGTCTGATACTGCAATTTCATTTCTAGACACACGTCACTAGAATCCATTTTAAACAAACCCTTAGTTCAGGTAAATACTTTATTTCAACGTTACTCGATCATCTCAATGATCATTATGACTAAAAATAGCGCAGTTCCTCTGCGTGTACGGCCCTCAAAACAAACGTATACGTTCGACGTCATGTGCAATCGGTTATCATAAATCTTAAAACTAGTTTGTTTTCCAAACATGTTTTACATAATTTAGTTTAAGTTATTTTAATTGGTTTGATATAAATGTGTTTGTTTTCGCGAAACATGTTTTACATAATTTAGCGTGTTAAGTTATTTTAATTCGGTCTTGATATAAATGTGTTTGCATTGCAAAAAATTTGCGTCGCTCGTTTGGCAATTCTATCATATTTCTAAAGTAACCCGGGGAGTTACGGTTTCGAAATAGAACGCAGTCATAACCGGTAGCTTTAGGTACAAGACTGAATTTGTGAATCCAGTTCACTATCGATTGTAGCTCTGGACATCACGCGGCTGAAGTATCATTATAGGTTAATACCTAACGCGAGTGTCAAACGAGAATTGCGCATGCGCCGTGCACCTCACTCAGGCCCACATACGACTTGGAGTACGTGACGCTCTCAATGACTTAGTCATTACCTAAATGTTACCAACCGACCGACAAAGGATGCAGCGAGAATTTTAAAATATTCAATCTATTTAGATGAAAAAATACGACTCGGGCGAGACGTGAACCGGCATCTACGGCGTTCCGTGCTGACTAATTTCATTCAATACTGCCTGTAGTTAACGCGAGTGGCACACGTTTAATTAAAAACTTTAACGGCTTAAAACGCGATATATATTAGTTTAATTTTCCTATAGTCCAACGTTTCAAAGGCTTCTCATTCACTTTGATTGTTTAAATGTGAAGAATATAAATATTAAATTGAAGTTTTGAAATAGACGGTCAAGTGTCGTGTATGTAGCCAACATGTTTACATACTCTGTAAAATGGCGTTGGAATTTTGACAAAGTGCATACGAGTATAATATCTACCTTCCAATATACAGTTCATTTTAATGTTTAAAATCTTTCGATAGATGCTTGGTTACTTGTGTTTATTGTATATTTTCGTTCATTGCTGTTAAATTGAGATTAGAAATACTTAATATAACATGTCTTTGTGTAAATGTTATTAGTTGTCAGCCAAATTATACTTAACCGATGAGGTAAAATGTTGTAATACATTTGTCTCTTAAAAAAAACATAATTAACGCGTATGAAACATCAACGCGCTCGCAGCTAAAATCAGCTATAATTTGTTTGATAGTAATGCCAATGGACACACCCTTCTAAAATGTGATAAAAAAACTTGTGATAAAGATTGTGATTGGTAGGGTTAAAACAAAATTTGGGTTTAAAAATATATCAGGATTTATTATCAAAAATATAAAGTTATTTACATAATAGTGTTATCGTAGTATTAGACTAGTTCTTCGAGCGGGCCTCGAGACTTCACCACCAGCCGCTAGAATATCCGGATCCGTAGCCAGATCCGTATCCGGATGTCCAACCGGATCCGTAGCCAGATCCGTAGCCGGATCCATAGCCATAGCTGGATCCATATCCGCTAGCGGAGTAGCTGGGCTCGGCGACCACCTTCTTGACGGAGACCACTCGCGGGACGGACACTACCTTAGGCACGCTCACCACTTGCGGCACGTTGACCACTTTGTTGACGGTAACGAGGCGGGCGGCGGGCGCCACGTGCCCCGCTGAATATCCGCCGAGGCCGCTGTACCCACCCCAGCCCCCGAGACCCCCGTAGCTGCCTCCGTAGCTGCCGCCGCTGTAACCGCTCCAGCCACTGAGGTCGCTGGATCCGCTCCAACCGCTGCTAACGTAGCTGCGCTTGTCTCGCACTTCGCCGGCGACGGCGCAGGCGACGAGAGCGCAAAGGGCGATCTAATGAACAAACGTTACTTAGATTTTTCGAAAGATCGTGCACCGTGTTCCGGTGGCTAGGAGTATGTAGGTATATTTCTGTGTCCGTGACAACAGATAGTAGAAACAGGCGAAGAAGCTTTTTTGGAAATTAGCTGTTATTATACAAGGTGTTATTATACAAGAGAAGTTTTAGTTACTTATAATTTAATAATTAGTCATTGAATTATATGGAGCGGATATGTATATACGTAATGTTAGCGTGAGTCGACCGTGACCGAACGCTCGTGAATTTACGAAACTGATTCTATGTTGTTATTAAAAAAATATAATTATTATGACGAAGTCTATAGTCATTTTGAAGAATTCATTACTCTAAATTACATTTTTATTGTGTAATTTTAAACGTTAAAACTAAGGACTCCACGCATATTTGCAGGAGAAAGGACTTTTGGGCTTATGAAAGCTTAATATCGGCTGAAATGCTGAAAGCTCCTTACGCATCGAAGTTTAAAAATGAAAGTTTGGAGACTTACGAAGGTTTTCATGTTGGCTTGTGGTGGTGGCGCTGGAGACGAGTGGTGTGTGCAGATTCTCGCCCCCACAGACTATATATAGCGGTTGACTTACGCAAGGCTGCGTCCTCGCACCCCGCTTCTTTAATTAAATATTACCGTTATACTTATTCATCCTTGCTCAAATTGCTTTTTTATGTTGTGAGACTTTTCGCGGTCTCATATTTGAAACAGACACGAGGACATACATTACATATGAATTCAACGAATGTTGCAATCCCGACGAAATATGCTCGGCTGACAAAGCCCTCCCTGGCCTGAAGTTTGTGCATTAGTTTTAATCTACCCCAATATATAAAGCTGGAGAGTTTCTTTGTTTGAATGCGCTAATCTCGGGAACTACTTCGATTCGATTCGATACGTTTGAATTGAAAAAATATTTTTGTGTTGGTTAGACCATTTATCGAGGAAGGCTACGGGTTATTAAACATTGCGCTGTGCATTGTGCACCAGAGAGAGCGAAGAAACAGCGGGAAATGTGGAAAATACGGTGAAAATTATCTTTGTGGGCTTCCGATGCGTAGGATGCGAATACGGTTTAAGATACCCAAGAAAACATGTATAAAAGAATGATTCTTCTTCAAATGGTGTAAAAAAATGTCCGCGACACTATATGTCTATCTTTTAAGATTTACTTGCTAGAACGACGGGATGCGCTTTACACTTTACAGTTTTGGCGCTTTAGCCCTCGTGGGCATACAAGCCCACGCGGGCTTGTAAGTTAAATTTATAAAGATGAGGAGGAAGTTTGTAAAAACGAATTTGGATGCCCAAAATAACTACGCGTACGAGGTTTTTGACACAGCTAGTCTACACTAATATTATCAATCATATCTAGTGTACTTTAAAAAAAAACTTCCACAATGAGTAAGCTTAAATGTATAAAATGCTATATAACGTAATTCGTCGCACACGCTGCGGTAACTGTTGATAATGGAAAACCATGCTCTCAGTACGACCGGTCGTACTGGAAGTCTTCGGTGGAGGCCGGAGGTGTCCAGCTATGCACCATGTCCAGCACCGAACGACCGAACTAATTAATTTCCATAACTTCTTAAATTGTCTGAAAATTTGAGTATGCACGAAAACGTACCTCGATGGACTTTCCTTTTTATTGTGTTGTAGGATTTATCGTCCTGTTGTCACCCAAAAATTACAGTGTTCGTTGACACAAACGCCTCGAAAAATAACATCGACAACGCAGTGCCTAAAAATTCAGAATTTGAAAAAAAATCCTTTAAAAAAAAAAAAAATTTTTATTTGAATTTTCTTCGTACATATTTTTTCTAAGGCTCGCAAAATAATAAAAAAATAACATTATACAATTTTGATAACCTGCATTTAATACCCGTGCAAATCCGGGGCTATATTTGTATTAAATAATATAGACTCGAAACATTCAACATCATTTAATAAAGATATCTAGGTTCAAAAAGCAAATTCCTATAGATGGAATAAAAGCTCAATTACACTCTAAGAACAATAATTGTTATACGACATCCAAGGGCAAGAAGAAAGGTGAGATTAGGTACCGCCAGGTATCTCGATAGGTTGTGCCGTTTACGGAGTATGACGTCGAGCTTTCGAAGACACACCCGTGCCTGTCGATGGTCCGAGCGCGTCGTTTGGCTCGACTCAAGGCCGCCGATTTGCAGGTTTAGGCGAGGCGTGCACTAGCGGTTACTTGCGCAGTTCGAAATAACGCTTGACGAATAGTGACCGAGGAGGACAGACGGGCATAGGTTTACGAGATGGAAGGTGAAATACTCTACATTTCTTTAAGCGAACCAAGTCCGCTAGAAATGTGTTCGTTGAGTTGACGTTGGGAAGATATAAGTTTAACCCAGGCCCACATACGAACGAGTTCTAAGAGATCTTTAAAATCTCACGAAATTAAAACTAGTGACTAACTAGAGTTACGTTAGATTATAGGATAATTAACCTACTCGCTTTACCGTGTAAAATAATAAATTAATGCCGTATACCATATATTTAAAATTGAAGTAGATTCGTATTTTTCAGTGTCTTCGTCTTGGAGTGGCAAAAACTAATAAAATACGGCTCTGATTTTAAAATAAACAACAATAACGTAGGTTGTACAGTGTTAAAAAACATTAATGAGACCACATTAATCATTTTTCTCTTTACATTCTTATATAGACGAATTATGTTGTTGTCGATTAATATCGATTACTTTCTGAATTCTTATAAATTGCCTTTCCATAAAAATATTTAATACGAATTTAAAGTCGTAAGAATAAACGCTGTAGCGTTGGGCTTATTACTCGTACTAGGTTTAAAAGGACTAGAATGATTTTCAATATTTTCATATATTATTAATAATATCAGTAGCGCAACAATATTGTAAACGCTTCGTGTACGCAAGGTCCTAACGGGCATCGATGGTTCTTCATGAAAGTGAATCAAGTTTCGGTCCACATTTAAATATTCATGGGTACGTCTTCTGGTCCCGGCATTGGTTAATGTTACCTTCGAGTTCACATATTTAGAACGTGCCGCAACATTGGCGAGTTTCGTAAAGTGGTTCGTTTCTATCTCAGGTCCACAAAATACCGTTTTCGTGATTCAATCGCTATTCGCTACGAGGGCTTTGATTACACAATATACAAACAAGGCTTAATATCGACTTGAGGGAATAAAGATTATTACAACCTTCCACTTTTTAGAAATAAATAAAACGAAAGCCATAAACGAAAATAATATTTATTATAATGAAATTAGATCTCAACTTAAATTAGACTAGAGAGAGCGGCGATCACCACCACCCGTTTCCGCCGGCGTTGCTTGATGACCGACAGCTGGAACAGCCGCCCGATGCCGGAATCACTTTTTGGACCTGGATCACCTTGGGAACGCTCACCACTTTTTGTACGTTCACGACTTGAGGGACGGTTACGACCTTCTTCACGTTTACTACTTTGTTTACGGTTACCACACGACTAGCTGGCGCGGCGTAGCTGGCCGAAGGAACGCCGTAACTGGCTAAGGGTGCTGGGTATGCTGCAGCAGGCGCTGGATAACTAAATGCTGGTGCCGTGTAGCTAGAGGAAGAGGCTCCGGAGCCGAGACTAAAACTAGGAGCGTAACTGGAGGCGAGGCCGATTTGGGGATTGGAACGACTTAGTGCTGGTGCGGAGTAACTGGAAATTGCAGGAGCTGAATAGGTTGATATTGCTGGAGCTGAATAGCTCGATATTGCCGGAGCTGAATAGCTCGATATTGCAGGGGCGGAGTAGCTCGAAATGGCAGGCGCCGAATAACTTGAAATGGCAGGAGCTGAATAGCTTGCAAGGGCGGGAGCCGAATAGCTAGAAATTGCAGGAGCCGAATAGCTCGAAATGGCAGGAGCTGAATAGCTTGCAAGGGCGGGAGCCGAATAGCTAGAAATTGCAGGAGCGTCGTAGGTTAATGCAGGCGCGGAATAGCTCGCTGGGGCGGGATAATTAACAGCGGGGCTGATGCTATGTGGTGCGGAATAGCTGGAGGGCGGGGCCGAGTAGCTGTAGCCACCGGAGCTGCCGTGGGAATGGTCATGTAGCAAACCTCGCTTCTCCCGCGAGCTGCCCGCTCCGGCAAACGCGAAAAGTCCAACGCAGATGATTATCTGAAACGGGACATTAGTACGTTATACAAGTATATGATACACCTAAAGCGACGGTTATCGTTATACTACTCACGAAGGCTTTCATGGTAAGATGTCGGCGATGTCACGGGCAATGACGGGTCATCAGCCTACGGAGCCATATATAGCCACATATTGTGACACTGTCCTCTGTTTCCATGACGATATAATTAATTTTTCATTTCATAACAGACCTCTAATTTATACGTAACAGATATTAACAAAGTCGGTCAAAGTTGATATCTACTTGTTGACTTAGAGCAGATGCGATTCGAGATTTGACCTCTGCCTGCCGCTATTAAGCGATTAACAGCGCGCTATTAAGAAAATAGCGAGCTGTTTGACAGACAAGTATTAATGACACGTTTCAAGTAGTAGTGTAGTTTCATAGAGCTTTATTCTTTCACGGTGCATTAGACGCTCTAATAAAACATGAACGATCTTCTGAAAATGTTTTAGTGCCTTCATGTGCAATGACATGTAAAAAATATTTAAGTTTTCAAATGTTTTATGCACTTTCTTAGTATTTAACCTCCTTAGTGTATAAAAATGATATATATATATATATATATATTAACAAGCCTAGAAAAACTTAAAAATCTATCGGTTTCATACTCTACCAAGTAGCTGTACTACAAACCGATAGAATACCCGCGACAGCGTCGACCGCGTAGAATAATTACATTGGGTATTATTTTATTTATCAGCTGAGCTTTATAAATGATTATACAGCTTTTACCAACGACGTCGTTTCTACACTTAAAGAAGAAATACATACCGTTCTCGCAGCGCACAATTAATGGTCAAACGAAAAAATAATCATTTTCTCCCTTTCTTAGCTCCTATTGGTCTGCAGCAAGCAGCCTGATGTTTCATAGCCTAAGCCTTCTTCGAAAAATGATCCAACCAACGCAACAATATTTTTCCAATTCGTGGTTCCTGAGATAAGCGCGTTCAAACAAATAAACAAACTCTTCAGCTTTATAATAATAATGAAGATTACTTGCATGCAAATGCATCTAATATGGTCTGTATACATGTAGGACTTCGTCTGGAAATCAACAGCGCATCTTGTTTAGACGTTCTATGGCTGGAGATTTCACCTATCTTCTAGTGAAACCTGTGCTTGTCTAACCGAGTAGGCCTCAAAACAAATCTTATCGACATAGCTTATTTATACTGGAATTGACAAATACTATTAAGTAATTCATAAAATTATTTCCAAAAAAATATGTCAAATAGAATGACTACTTAAGGTTTCATCAATCATCAGTTAAGGCACTTTATCGAAATGAGTTTAATAAAGTTGCAATCAATTTTGTTTGAAACAAATATATACAGAAGATGAGTATAAATTAAAACCCAGAAATTACTTAAGAGTTAATTTAATTAAGATAAAAAAGATCACAATCAAAAATACACGCTCATTTCGACAGACACATTTCACCACCAGCCTCCTCGTCCGGTCAGGCCTGAATAGCCATTGTAGCCGCCCCAACCGCTACTCCTCCAGCCGCCCCCGTAGCCACCGTAACCGCCGTATCCTCTGTACCCGCCGTATCCTCCGTGTCCTCTGTACCCGCCGTGTCCTCCGTACCCGACGTATCCTCCGTACCCGACGTATCCTCCGTACCCGCTATATCCTCCGTACCCATCGTAGGACGGGGAGCCGTAGGAGCTGTAACCCCAACCGCCCCCGTGAGCCGACACCGCGCAAACGATGGCGAGAAGAACTGCGCAAACCTATTCGAAAACATTTATTTAAGTAGTCATTACTTTAGACCACTACTTGTAGCGAAAGAGTAATAAGCAATATTTTTTAGGGGTTAAGGCAGTATGCTTTATATATAAGTGTAATATTAGGCTATGATTGCTATAATTTGAATATTTTCAAATATGTAATGCACCGAGAAAGCTTCGACAAAAGAACTCGCCCAACCTCCGCAAACGTTTTCCTCAAACTATATTAGTAAACTGGTTTTAGGAGAATGGAGATGCAATTCATGCAAATAAAGAAATATACTTACGAGGTACTTCATTTTCTCGTCTATCGGGTGCGCTCTGTGTTGGCGAACAGGTAGTATGGGTCAGAAACGCGTCTCGGGACTTATATAGCTGCTAGATTTAGGCATAGACGACACGTGACCAGATCGATGTAAGATGACGTTAGAATCACCAATAAAACGAATTAAGTGTCGGTCGGAGGACGTCCCCGACTACGGAGTGGATCCCGCCATCGAACGGAATGTGTCGCTGCCTACAAATTGTCGTTTTATGTCAATTGCAAACGGATTAGGAAAACTGTGTCAGATCGTATTAACATTTCGGACAATTTTCTTATTGTGATTAGGTGTGGTCTTTTTCGGGTTCAACTATGAACCCGTAATGTTTATGTAGTTTTACCGTTAAAACGCTTCTTTCACGATCATTTGTTTTGAAAGGGTGCAGTGTAATACATCAGAAAAATGCACATATTTCTTGTGGAGTTACAATCGTACAAGTTAATCTTAGGAAATTATTAAAATTAAGGTTACGATATCACCGATATGCATATTTGTCGATTAACGAGTGTCGAATCATTTTTTTATGATTAATTGACGACGCATCTGCCTAATGTACCTAAATATTGTAAAAAGTATCGCATTTTCGTCTTTACGAGAATTTCAAAATTTTAATTGACTTAAATTCAGAGCTTTTCGACGGCTGAGATGCTATGACCGCCAGAAGAATATACCCATCGCAAATATAGAGCAACGTCGAGCTACCGCAGTTAAAGCATAGGTGTCAAGGCAAACTCCTAATTTAATGGCACTAAACGGAAACAATAATATCATTAATTTTATTATAAATATATACCTATGATAATACGGCGAATTTAGTAAGTTTTAACATCGGAATGAAGCCACGAAAACAAAATTAGTTGTCGTATTTGATCGGGATAAATAATAGTAAGTTTTTTAAAATGACCGATGACGTAAATTGAAACGAGATAATAATTAAAAATAATATTTAAAAAAAAGTGAAGTAAATGCATCCGGAAAATAAATGAGTTCTGGATATTTGTAATTCTTTTATTGATTTGATTTATGTTAACTAGATGACGAATTGCTACTTAGCACCACGGGTTCCTCTGATAACTGCTGTCGTAGTTGTAGGGGACGGTGTAAGTCTGTTGGACGGGCCTGTACTGTTCGATTTGCCTGTACTGTTGGATAGGTGTGTAGTGCTGAATGGGAGTGTACTGTTGGACGGGAGTGTACTGCTGAGCATGGTATTGCTGTAGAGGGGCGTACTGCTGGAGAGGTCTGTACTGCACGTTTTGCACGGGCACCTGATCAGTGTACACTGGCAGCTGGTATTGAGGAGTAGAGAAAATCCTCTGCTGGTTGATCGGATACACCTGCGGCTGATTTTGCCACTGTAATAAAAACGTAATCTAAATGTATTGTTCATAAATAAAACACTCAAAACGGATTAAATCAGAAAACGATTTACTACGAGCCGACGTTTTCGATGTTTTTTTTGCTAACAGCATACCACCAGCATAATAAAATAAATGACATTAAATCCATATGTTTGTCATTGTAACGTTAGGTTTTTTCTTTAATTAAATAATAGTAATATACAATGAAAGTTCCTACTCAAGAATGGCTGATATTATTATAACCATCACCCCCAGTACTTTTTGTAGCTTCATTTAAGTACTAATATTTTTATATCATAAATTATGGTACGAATAAAAGGTATTTTAGGTGTGTACAATTTTGGGCTTCCCAAGTTTAATTTATGCATAATATCTTTGAAGACCTTCGATCGACGATTTGGTTATGAACATCTCATAAAAAATATAATAAAAATACAGGTTTAAGAAAGTAATTATTCAAATGACTAAGCTATTGAGTGTTTATAGAGGATATTTTTGTTCGCCTCTGTGGCACAATTTCAATCATCAATTCTCGAAAATATGTTTCGGTCGGGGCGGGCACAGATCGTTGCATACGTTATACCTACATGTAAGGTCCTACACTTGGGGAACACATTTTGAGTTTTAATTATCTTTGAATCACTTTAAGAATGTTATCACTCTTACCGTGTTTATAGGCTGGACGTTGTATTGTTGTTGGGGCTGATAAGTCTGTTGTTGCAAGGAAGTGGATTGGTACTGCGTCTGCTGCAGCGAGCTGCTCTGAAGAGAGGACGAGTGCACCAGGCCAGGCTCGTAGTGGCGCTTTTCGCGTTGTGGAGCGCCTGCTACTACCGACACCGCCGCTACTAATACCTGGGAAAGGTACGAGAAGGTAACTTAACCCCACTGAATTCTGAAGTAATGTTATCTTGTCATGAAGACAGAAGACGTTTTATGTCATGGTAATTGTAGTTCTGGGCACTGTTCATTAATATGATGGCGATACATTTACTATATAAGGTTCTTTTCGGTCGATGAATTAAATTATTATGAATATCGCCAAATACATTGGTTCAGACCAATATTACTTACCACTATGTGAAAAAGAAGCACAGAATTGTGTTCTAAGAGAACCGCCATCGCTAGTTCACATAGAATCACCACTACAAAAATAAACGCCTGATAAAAATGTCCGAGTGACTTACCAGAAATTTCATTTTGCTAATTGTTTTTTATCAGATCCTGACCGTCTGACCCGAGCGGAGGTAATGAGATGACATCACATCTCGGCTCATATATATATAGATAGCTCACGATATAAATTATAATAGGTCATAAATGCTCAAACAGGATTCTGAGATTAAACAAATGTCCAATTTATAGAAACGTGTGGCGGTTTATAATCCCCTGGGTTGACGACCGGTCTATCGGCTTTTTTCATAATTTAATAAATAGAAAACAAACAAAATCACCAAGCCAAAGAAAAAACAAGTGTTTTCTTTAAAAAATACATGTCTTTTGGTTTGAGATAGATTACAGATACATTGGTAATTGTCTAACTACGGACGGAATTTCAATATATCCTATCACTAGATTTTCTAGACGAAGACAACTCTTTGAGAAAAAATATAAACTGATTTAAGGATCATGTTATACCTTACCTATCGGGAATTGAACCCGCTACGTATCGATAGTTAACTAAAGGGTAGGCCTTTGCGGCTAGAAATCGATACCGAATCTGCGAATTTTATCGAGTTTAATGACCGATTGACGACATTCCTCAACCGCATATGTTCTGCCTGCTCTCATGTTATTATTAATAAAGTAATTAATAATACATTCTTGGAGTGGCAACGTCCGTTGTGGACCCATTAATAAACAAATTTGGCGGATTTGGCAGAACACTATTTTGTAATCGCAGTGACAAAACATTAGCCAGATACTGCCTATTTTAGTTTAAATATACTACAGTATAAAGAGTTATTTCTCAAATGAAAATAATATTTGTAGGAAACGTGTTACACATAATATAAGGTGACATGGAAAAATTGCAACATATCTAAACAAGTTATTCGGTTTTGGAGTCCGGCAGGTGTGGTCGCCGATGTATGAAACTAAGTATATAGCGTTCACTCCGAGTCTAAATACCCTTAGTGGAGCGTAGATTATTCTCAAATAATGACCTTTTATCGGAGAACAAGTTATTTTGTCTCGCTTAAAATAACATATTATGCAACCATGGCTTTCTATAGATCCGTCTGGATCAACATATAGATTTCATATAATCTTATTGTCGAGTAAATATCCTTAATTTATCCAGATTTTTCTAACCTCTTTCTACTGCTTTCGTAGCGTTTGTAAATATGTATTGTGCTATCATAATACAATAAGCTTATATCTTTTCTGTAAACCATATAAAACTTCAGTAGAGGACGAAGAATTCACAAACGATGTATTCACCGAAATAAAGCAAATTTCTTTGGTCTGTAGATAAGGTTTGCTCGTTTGAGCCTTGTGCGATACAACAACTTATTTTTATTTAAATCGGATTGTTGAAGCAAATATAGCCCATAGTAAAATGTAACATTAAAAACACAGCCAGACACAAATTCTAACTTTCTCATAGTTTAGGTATATTGCCATAATACATTTTGATATTTAGAATCCAGAGCTAATTCATTAAATATAAGTAAATACTCTAATATGACATTTAAAAAGCAATATCGGCCGCGTTGAGTACAATTCCATAAAATAGTAAATTGGCGGATGTCGTAAACTGCTAAATGTTCATTTCCGCTTGCGAAACTTGCGCCTGCCGGCCACCTGTATAATTGTGTCTTTCCATTTTGCCATTTTAAAGCTCACGTACATTGTGAGTTAAACGATAATGTTCCGTATTATAGCACTGATTTTTTAAAGCCCCCATTAAATTAGTAGAATTTAAGATATATAATACATACCTCAATTTTCATGTTATAACTTTAATACTTACATTTAAACGCCTGTAAACTTTTTAACTACAAATGTGTCTATCCGCAATTACTTACTGTAGGAAAGATCGACAATAAAACCAGCAGGTCAATAAAACTATTTTATTGCAACACACAAAATACTAGTTTGGCACTGAAGGGTCGCGGGTGGCAAGATGGTGGGCCCTAATGCCAGCCGTGGCCGAGGCCCAGCAGGGGAGCATGTAGTCCATGCCCGTAGAGGCCATGGTCTAGAACCGGAGCCGCGATGCTATGGCTGATGATGGGCGCGGGAATGGCCACGCTATGGCTGACGATAGGCGCGGCGGCTATGCCGTGTCCGTAGAGGCCTAGCCCGTGTCCCCCATAGAGCCCCAAGCCGTGACCGCCGTACAGGCCGTGTCCGTATCCTAGACCCCCGTAGCCTAAGCCGAGCAGACCTCTCTTCTCCTTTTTCTCCTCGGCGCCGAAGACGGCCACCGCGGCCACCAAGAGTATGATAATCTAGAAAATGATAATGAAAGAAACCAAAGTCGGTCATTTATTCGCAAGTAAGCCATTATAAACTAATAGTGGGCGATAAAGTCTCAAAAATACATACTTCCTATGTAGATTAAAAATAGTTAGTACCTATTCTTCGTCACATTCACAAACGCACCCTTCTATTGACATACACTGACAGTATACTTATACTGTCTCTTGAACTTAAGGGCGCTTGAAGTCAAGATTCCCTGAACAAAGACTCTGGATTTGAAATCAAGAGTCTTTAGACTCAAAATAAGAGTCGCAGTAACAGTAACACTTAATCGCGAATATATAAAATCACAAGAACCCCCCTTCATAACAGTGTTCAAAGGGACAGAGTACTTACTATAGCCTTCATATTATTGTGTTGTGAATTAAACTGTTGAAAGCAAACTGCAGTTGCACACGATTCTAATGGTTTCTGGGCGATGCAGGTGGCAGGACTAGCCGCTTATATACAGCCGAATGAGGCTCTCGCCCCCTCTCACTTGTCAAAGGGCGTCACCGATCTAGTTCAGTCTCGAAGTACAAATTTCATGGGGCTTACTCAACCTTTTAATATACCCGAGATAGATAGATAGTTAGAGAACGAGCCGTCTATCAACCGTACGAATGGGTACAATAGTGCATAGATATTTCTATCTCTCATATGCAACTCGCGTAATATAATAAATAAAAGAGTTTTTCTGTACTATAATATATATTTCTTGCAAAATGTCCCTCTCTTGCTCACTGTATGAAAAAGGGTGTCACTCGAATATAGAGGCAAAATAAATTTTCAGAAATCTATAATCTATAGAAATATATTATATAAAGCTGAATAGTTTGTTTGTTTGTTTGTTTTAACTCGCTAATCTTAAAAACTACCGGTTCTTATTGAAAAAATATTTTTGTGTTGGTTAGAGCATTTATCGAGAAAGTGTGAGTGGGGAATGTGGATATAACGGAGAAAATTATTCATCTGTGTGGGTTTCCGATGCGTACGCTGAAAAACGCTTCAGGACACCCAAAAAAAGTTGTATGAAAGAGTGATTCCACTTTAATTGATGTAAACAAATGTTCGCGGCACTGTATGGCTATTTTTTATATTAACTTTCAAAAACGACGGGACGCGACCGTTGTCGTGGGTAACGGCTAAACTTTATAAAGTAGAGGAGGGATTTGCAAAAACAAATTTGGATGCCTAAAATAACTATTCTTCGCGGACAAAGTCAGTGACACAGCTAGTTAGTTCATAATATGGTTGTAATATTATTGATTACTTTTATTATGCAATTAAGTTAATTTGTAAGAAAGAGTACGACAGCTTAGATTAACTTTTTGTCGTTATTGTGTGGAATAACCTTAATATGAAGCTATTTAGCTCTCGGGCTAGTGAATAACGGATGATAAGAAACCTAAAACCAAAAAATATATGATATGCCGTACACATGCCCCCCCGTGGTAAACTGCTTAATGTACTGAAGAACAAGCTCGGGAATAAAAAACGTAAACAAGACCTTACTTCCTGTTGACTGAATGATTGCGTTACCGACATATTATTTGTGACAGTATGTGCGTAAGACATGCGGCATGTGGAGCACTGCTTTATAAGGCGAGTTGGCCAATCGTACTCCGATGCAGAGCAAAGGTAGCCGGGAAAAAATATTTAATAAGGAATACAAGTAACAATACATGTTAATAAGATTTATTTCGAGACAAATAAATAAGCTTAGTGCTACAATAAAGAACTCGCTAAAATATAAAAGGCAATATTTACATCTATCGTGGTGTGATCTAGACAGTAAAACTTAGGTTTAATGTTAAATGTTAATTTGTACAAGACAAAGACTACGATGTCTGCTCAATAAAAAGCAGCCAGACGACAACCGTATTTTATCACATGCTTTTGACGAAGTCTTAACAAAACAAGCTCAACAAAAACTGTTACACACTTAATATTACAATTAAATGCCATTTGTTAACCCCCATGGCTAAGCCTCGTCTTACAGTCTCCATATTCACTGAAAGTGGTCTAAGGGTCGATCTATTGGGGGCTGTAAGGCCAGAGGTATGTGATTGTGGAATTGCTGACTGTCGTCATCCAAACTGCGGCCTTCCGGTTGCGGCACTCCATACTCTTGATTCGGATGCGTCGACTGGCCAAAGTCTTGACCGGGAAGAGAATAATCGTTACCTTGTTGTGAAAAGTCGTGACTTTGGTGAGAAAAGTCCTGTCCTTGCTGAGAAAAATCAGGTCCATGTTGTGAGAAGTCGTGACCCGATTGAGCAAAATCGTGGGCATGATGAGCGATATCCTGACCTTGGTACGGATTAGTCTGGCCGTGGTATTCGTACGGTATCTGCGGTGCACCGTACTCTTGCTGCAGGTGATGTTGATTTTGTAAGTTCTGCTCGTATTGAGCCTGTTCAATCTGCTGCTGAATGTGCTGTTGTATCTGGTGCTGGAAGTCGTTAAAATGTTGTTCCTGGTGGTGCTCGTACACTTGTGTTCCCTGCTCTTGAACGAAATGGTGATTAGCACCGTCCGCAGGATGAGGTTGTACCGGGGACCAACCGTCGTGCTCGACTGGCACCGAAGGCTGGGTTGGCTCCAAGTGTACCGTAGGCTGCGGTATAAGCGTCGGTTGAACAGTAAAGGTTGGATGGGAAAAGCTGTGTTGCGTCGGTGTATGTACGTGTATCGCAGGTTGGGGCACTTCGTGACCGGGGTGAAGTGTCGCGGGAGTCTGCTCGTATATCACGTTATGCGTATTTTGTTCGACTCCCTCGTGCGGTACCACCTGAGGTAGTACGTGGAAGGGCGGACTATGCGCTTGTATCACGTGCTGAACCGATTGCACCGCCGGAACGGCTGGAGCACTATGCAAAGGATATATCGGAGCTTGGTAGCTACTGATCAGGGGATATCTGGGATACGTAGCAAAGTACGAAGCGTGAATAGATCCTCCGGGACGGAAGACGTATTGTTGTTGTAATGGGTAAAGTGGCCGCGGCAGAAGTGCCGGCGCTAGCGGAATCGGAGTTACATGGCTTTGAGGGATAACGACCGGGGGTGGAGCGATTGGAACTGGCTGAGGAGATAACACCGGTGTGGGTAGGGCGTGAGCGATAGCGGCGGTCGGATGCGGTAGTGGAACTACTGGGGCAACGGGAGCGGCATCCACAACGGGACGTAGGGGAGCAACCGGTACTACAGGCTTCGGTTCCACGTGATGATGGTGATGGTGGAAATGATGATCAGGTTTCACGTAATACTTTGTGTGAGGGAATCGCAGGGCGTAGTGCGGATGTGGCAGCCCAGGAACTTTGTGCCCAACTCCTACTGGGAATCTCGGAACAAGTGGATTAGTCAGGGGCACTTTAACTGTCGCAACCGCTGCGGTCGGCGGATACGTGACCACGAGCGGCTTCACCAGGGAATGAGTGACTAACGGTATGTCGTGGCCCAGTTTGTACGGAGGAAGATGGGAGAGAATCCCTCGCTTGTTATGCTTTCCTTTTCCCACCAGGTGGCCGATGAGCTTGGCCTTGGAGGCCTTGATGTGTGCAACATCTGCGATAACGCCGCAAGCGAAGACACATAACATCAGCGCGGTCTGAAATTGTTAAAAGGTCGTTTTAGTCATCAAACTTAAAATTGAACGAGAAAACTTAACTGAAACTTTTGAGCTTTAGCACTAATATCACTTCTCACTGCACACACTAGGAAACCACTGACACTGCACTCCGATACTTACGCAGAGTGACCTCATGGTGGATAGCCGCCCAGTCGGCGCGACTTCGGCTTAACAACGGGCCACATGCCCCGCGACCACCTATATTTATAACTTAAAACAAAAACAATTAGTATGTCATCATCGTCCTATTTTCACTGGACGCGCCGACAGCGCTCAGCGGCTTTCCCTCACTAAATTCGATCACACTCCGGTCGAGGGAAAATGAATTCTATGCGGCGGAGTGAACGCTCAATGCACACGAAACACTCATCAGGGAGTCCGGTCTCGTAGGATTTGCCGTCATTCGTGTAACATGGGCGCGGGGACGCATACCAATCAACAATGACACGTAATAGAGAAAATCGCTCTAATAAAGGCAGGGCTGAATTCAGCTCCGGCGATATAATTGTAATTTAATTTATTTAGAAAGGTTTACCAACGTTATGTTACAATCTTACATGCTAAATATATCATTAATTCTAAAAAAGAAAACAAGATAACTGTACCTAAACAATTAAAGGTAAACACCGCTTTTTGTTACACAAAAGTACAATAATATTAATTAGTAATATTCATTAAATACTGTCTATAGTTTACGCGAGTAGTACACATTTAAATAAAACACTTTAACGGTTTAAAACGCGATATATTAGTTAAACTTATTTGAAAATGATTTTTAACTTCGGCCCGACGTTTCGGATGCTTTGCAGCAGCCGTGGTCACGGGTCTCCCCGTTTGACTAATATATCGCGTTTTAAACCGTTAAAGTGTTTTATTTAAATAAGTAATATTCATTCTCAAACTTATTCTCCACAGCAGTGTAAGTGAAACAATAATTCTATTAAATTTCGTAGCAAGACATTGTTTTTTCATTGTGAATAAAAGTTTTTTTAATCGAGAAACGAAGCCCCTTAGGTCGATCGGTGTGGTCATCGCGGCTTCCCTTCGGCTGAAGCAGAAGCCGGGCCTGCACCGCCAGGACATTAGACATGCGAAGCGCAAGCGTTATGTATCAGTTACCAAATGGCGAATACTTTCGCGTGCAGAGCGCTCTCACTATCACTGTTCGAAGATCCTCATTGCTATCTGATCATCGGAAGTGGCGATACGTGATGTACGAGCAACTTACGTAACCCTTCCAGCCCCAATGTACATGCCATCATTGAACTACTGATTCCGTAATCAGATTGGGTCGAGGGAAATGTTATTTGTAGCTGCTTAAAAATAATTATTATTATTAAGTATTTCCTTCATATTCATTAAGAAGATATTTATGATTTGTATTTTTCTAGAAAGAAATTGTCTTGTAATATTTAAAACATATTTTATAATATATATAGGAACCCTTTATTTTCAACATTAATTGTGTATTATCTGTTGTTTCCCTAATTCCTTTGATAATATAATCTGTCACGTAGGTTTTGACAGATGGATATATGTAATCTACATATTGTATGTGAAAAGTGCCGGTTATCAAACTGGAGGGTTTTTTTGTGTTCAAGTTCTGAGCCGTTTCGAGGAAGTCACTTTTATCCTGTGGGACCTTAGTAAAACGTGTTACATCACCCCAAATTCCTTTATCGAAAGGTACGGCTTTGAAAATTCTGTGATCATCATAATGTTGACATCGTGTATTTATCAGATAAAGTTTCTCCAAAAGTCGACAAGATGGCGTTTAAATAAGTCTTATTCAATGTTACATAGGCTGAACTTCAAATATTTTGTATCTAAACATACCTAATAATTAATTAAAAAATACAAAGAATGTGCTAAAAGCGTCGAGATTGGTAGTTGTATTTGGGTTTCAAAGGGTTAAGGAGTTAAAGTTGTAGTAGTAGTAGTAAAATTAAAGGTAGTGCATGATTTGAAATAAAATCTTTTAATTGAATAGCTGTGCTAATAGTTACGGTAACCTAAGCTACAAGCGCGGCTATTCTTTGCTCTATCTGTTATATTTATTTTTGTTTTTTGAATGTCGTGACGATATCTTGATTTTCATCAAGATTACTTTACTACATACAAGATTTTAATATATCTTCCATTTTGGCAGTTAACTCCTGGACGACGTGGTGGTTAAACCACGCCATCACACAGAATTTGCAGAGAAAAACAAAGCCTTGCTAAAACATCGGGTAAGTAACATCGTGTTTGCCTCGTTTCATATATATTGTAACATTGTAGTTTAGTTTAACTTCGGACGGTATAAAAAGAAAGGAATCTGACAAAAATAGCCAATCTCGACTTTGTACAAATCGAGAACAGATTGCGATGTTAGAGAAATAATAAATCGTTACTTAACTGGTTTATTTTATTTCCGTTAAGGTTACAATTGACATTGAATTAGCTAACTTTATTATACACTGAAGCAATTTGTGTCGTTGCATTGTTCATTAGATGTCGGTGATATAATTATTAATTATGTCCCTACTGCGCCACATGAAATTATTTAGATAGTCACGTAGGTTATTTTTGCATATTTTTTTATTTTTATTTCATGTCTGTTTATTTATTCCTGTATTTGTAGTAACATACAATACTGTTAAACGTGTAAAAAATAAGTAAATAGCTAATAAACGTCTAAATAAACTTGATTGTATCATAATTAAAAATCTATTTACATTGAACATTTCACGACACGGGTAAGACTTAAACCGGCATTTTTGTATAATTGTATACTTTTGTACACCAGAGTCAGTGGACTCCCGAAGGGACCGACCGCCCGATTTCTATCGCCACTGGGGCGGCCTTGACCCTCTTCGTTTCGAGTTCGCCTTGTGCAAATCGAATTTCACGCCCCGACGGCCGAGCCGACGCCAGATGCAAATAATGAAATCGAATTGTCGAAATTTATTAAGAAACTTAAATAATACAATTCTCCTAACTAAATATAAAAGTAACAATAGCTCACATACATTTACAAGACTATACCTCGGGGTCATCTCGACGCCCCGAAAGCGATGTTTGGGGAGTCAATAAATAATTACAATTATGGCGGGTATGAGGGCCTCAGGGCTTTCGGAGTACGGTGTTCTTGCTTCTGACGACGGCCACGTGTGGCCGCGGCGCGTCCACCTGCACGTTGTGCGCGCGCACATACTTGTTCTGGTAGCCGGACTCGCGGACGCGTGCGTTGGGGCTCAACGTGTCCGTCTTCTCTTGCTCGTCGGCGCGCTCGGTCTCTTCTTCGCTTCTCTCGCTGTCGTCCGAACGTTCTCCCTCCCCGGTGCGATCCCTATCTCCGGAGTCCTTTTCTTTCGACGACTTGCTGTCTCTGATCCGCTCCGGGTCCTCTTGTAATCTTTCGTGATCGTCGAGGAAGTGGCCCTCGTCCCCGGCGTCCTCGAGGCGCGCCACGTCCGCGTCTTTGGTCGGCGGCGGAACGGTCAGCTCGCCGTAACGCTCTTCCTCCTCGGAGACGGGCAATTTGTTGCCGTAGTAATCGTAGTCTCCGGCAGTGTACGACTCGCCGGACGTCGCTCGCGCCCGTCTACTCTTCTTTCGGCGTCGCTTTCGTTTGGGCGCCTCAGTCCTTTCGACTTGTGAACTCTGCTCACTCTCGGCATCGGATTCGTCGTCTTCGTACGCTCGAGGGGGTCCTTCCGCCTCCTCGTCGCGATCGGGCGCCTCCGGTGTCTCTCGGTGGAGCTTCTTAGGGCGTTTCTCTTTGTAGATCGGGGGAACTCTCACGGTCACCGTGTCGATTTGATTAGGATTATGTTCCGTCGGCGGGAGTACGCGTGGTTTTAGCTTGCGTCTCGGATCCTGAGTCGTGGTCGTCACCTCGCTTTCCTCTTCACCGTCCGAGTCGTTCGCTTGATTTTGAGGAATGCGTTTCGGGTTTTTTCGGTCGCTTTGTAAGCCTTGTTGACCGTCGTCGTTCCGACGGCGTATTTGATTTGTCAGTTCGCGGTCGCCAAAATGCACGTTTCTATAGTCGTTAAGCGGCAATTTCTGATTTGGTTTTTGTTTCTGAGACCAAAACTGATCGACGGCTGTTCCTACTTTGCGAAGGGCGCCCGACCGAGCTCTCGGGTCCTCGACGTCCTCGTAGTCGTCGTCGTAGTCTTGCCGCCCTCTTTGCGTTTGGGGCTCCTCGTCCTCGTAAAACAAATAATCGTCGTGGGCGACCGGGTCTCTTTTGAAATTTAGAGCGTCGACTGTGTTGACTTTTTGCGCGATTCCGTCTCGAAGTACGAAGGCGTCGATGTAAACCCGCGAATTGCGAGGCGCAGGAGGAGGCAGCTTAGCCGCCCGAGGCTGGATCGCGATAGGGTCGATGGGGGCTCGCTCGAGTGGCGCGTCGTAGTCCGCAACGGTTTCGTCTTCGGCGGCCGTCGCGGTCGGCGCGGCGACACCGCGATTAAAGTTAAGATTCAAGCGGAAGTTTGTGTTTATTGTTTCCAAATTTGAGTCCGCTTTCGGTGGTGGTGCAGGAGCGCACGGTGCAGCGGTGGTGGGGTTAGCGCGTGGAGCTCCACAAGGAGGAGGCGGTCGAGGCGCTGGAGGTTTCGTTGGCTTAGGTTTAGGAGGATTGGCTCGCGGTTTCGCACAAGGCGGGGGAGTTGGAGGCGGTGGAGGGCGACGGGCTCTGCAGGGCGGTGGAGCAGCAGCGCGCGGGGCGCCGCAGGGTGGTGCTGCAGGAGCGGCCGGAGCCGGAGGGGCCGGAGCCGGACCGGCCTGCAACGGCGAGTCGATTCCCGGTACGGGGGCGACCGGCGGCGGAAATTCGAAAGCTTGTGGTGGCTTGCGTGCGACTTTGTAGCCGAGCACGTCGGCGAGACCGCGGAATACGATATCACCGAAAGTTCGCTTCTTCCGGACCACCGGCTCGTGGTCGCTGTCCGAGAGCGTGTCGTTAACTTTTAGTGCATCGTCGGTCGCCTCTGCGACGCTCTCGTTGAGAGACTGCGCAATGGCACGCGTCTCGTTGGTAGTGTCTGCGATGACGAAGACCTCCGCCGCCCGTGCGGTCGCGGACAGCAGCAGCAGCAGCGAAATGAGCGGCACGCGCGGCATGGCGCCGAGCTAGTGGCGCGCGGGACAAGTGGCGCGCAGTTTTGTCTGCCGCGCCGTTGCTTAAGGCCCGTCACGGTTCGCCGGGCGTGCCCTTCCCATTTCTCAAAGAGACATTTCTTTATGTTGTTTGCAAACTGGCTTTATGCATTTTAAGACACGAAGCACTTTCATTCTAAATACTCGTATTTGTATTGCTCGCTCTTGCTTGTTGAGGTTTTTTTTTACAATTTCATTTCGAATTAGAATAATAAAAAATTTCATCACTACCTATTAATCGTAATTCTTCTTTATTGCACCATTATCCTACCTCTATGAGTAGTAAGTTGTAATCTATAGTTTTTTTTATGAATTAGTACCAAAACACGTCAACATTAGAAAACATAATATTTTCAGTTCAAGGCAACTTATGTAACCACATCTAATTAGGGGCTCCGTTTCTAGATAGCGGTTCTGAACTTGACAAGTACTGTCCAGTTTAGGTGTTCCATACACGAACGCTTTCCTCTCGTTCTAGAAGTTTCATGCGCTCTGAAATAAATACTATCATAGACTTCACTAAACCAAAATAGGCTGAAAGCATATTATAGGTAGGCATATGGCCGATGTAATTCACCTTCCAACAGGTGCTAGCCTCTTTTCCTCTATCATAAAAATAAACAAATACATCTTAGGAAAATATGTGTACTTAGCTTATTATAAAATAATTATCTCGTGATTTACTCTGAATATTACAACGCTCGTATGTAGTCTTACTGTATCCCCCGAAAGTGAGACCGACATATTAGATTAGCCTAAGCCTCGCAGTGTCTCTTCTAATTGTATAATTAAGTGCTTAAATACGTTCTCGTCACATTGCTAAATCCCTCAAAATTTGTTTCACATACTCCTTATTTTTAAGCCATTTGGTAGATTTGGTAAAACAAATTTACAGAAATACCTTCTAACTTACTAATCTACTGCACAATGTAAATCATAATGATTTTATATCATGATGTAGGTAAGTTTTGTTTAAAACTTTTACACCAAATAACTGCCGACTAGCCGATATAAAATAGAGAACTGTGAAGATTGTGAATGTTCCACGTATTTACACGTAGAATACCTAAGCATATACAATAATATCAGGCTTTCGTTTTCATGTCACAAAATACATTATTAAGGAAAAGGGCCAAAACAGCAAAGATAACAAAGCAAAATATATCTAAATCCAAAAATTACAATCCTGACAGAAATAAATGAGCAAATTTCTATAAGTGCAGAATAACTCGTATTTATTTTAAAGGAATAGTGTTTATTTCGGTATTCACACATTGTACTTGAGAAGGATTTTGAATATTTAACTGTGTGATTAGTAGTAGTGAGTACTTGATACATGTCTGTTACTTAGTCACTAAGAAAGTAATAGATGAATTTGGAATGTAACGTATAGGCACTGAAAACTTACTAATATTTCAGGCTTACTATGCATACAGTAGGTATCACCTTCCAGTTGAAATTGTGTGTTTATTTGTAAAAGATATCGGAGCAATGAAATACAAAAACATTTAACATTATCTTTAAAGTTAACACGTTCGTCGTTGCTAGTCGTTATACTTTCTCCTGACATCAAGACAAATGCTCAAATCGATCGCGACGGAAGCATCTGAGCTCAATTTTACATGGTTATTGAGTGAAATTCAGTAGCAACAGGGCCCAAAGACGTATTCCGAGAGACGCTTAATTACGCCTTAACCGTTTTGTTCTGATTCGAAAGATGTCTTGGGAGTTCTAATGTGTGCTGCTATATAAACGAAGGGATGGATCGTAGTGGGCATTCATTTAGGCAATACCAAAAAGTGGAGTTGACGGAAAAGTTGGACGATTTTTTACAGAAAAGTGTTTTTCACCTCGTGAGAAAAGAAGTATAATAATTCTACTACTAGTTCTACCTCACCTAGAATCGCTTAATCAACGTATCGTTATAATTTTAAATCGAACTCGTTTGACTAATTAAGGAGCCTGACTTACACAAATGGTAAGCTATTCCATAAAAGATCGATTGTATCAATATGTTGACGAGTTTATGTATTTACGAGGTCATATTGGGACCGAGTAACGACGCAATTTACACTCCACTACTAGATGTCGTCACTTAATTTTATTTAAGAATGACAAGACTACGCTGAGAATATTTGAAGTTAAGAATGATTGATGAGTTGAGTATTAGATCGATGTGTAAAAATCCCAATTTTCTATGTACAAAGTAAGAAGTAAGTAAGTAAGTGATGCGAGTCCTTCGACCGAAGCAAGCAAAGATTTCCCTGAGATTCAACGAATAATCTCTCGTACCTATAACACTGCGGCGTTTCAACAATTGAGATACAACCGTGTAATAAATATGACGTATATATAAATATCTGCTCTGTCTCGCTGTCTTCTTGCTCGTAATATTAGGAATAATTTTAAGTAGGATTTACACAGGTCTCAAATCTGGAATACAGTTTAAATCTTCAAACTATAAATTATTAAAAATGTCGTACTATTAATTCATTTTTAATTTTAAAGAGAATTCGTAGACCGGTCACTCAATCTAGCCGCGGATCAAGATATAAAACAATGGATTACGATAATCGCGTGAGAGCACCCAATTAAATCCCAATGAAATTGCAAGTGTTTGTCTCTGTTTACATTGAATTCTACGCTAATATTGATTCACTGTTATTACAACCCGTTCCGCAGACGGAAGAAATAAACCATTTAATCGCCACACTGATAAAATCGATAGCACACGACTTTCTTTGTTTTTTATCAGCGCAAGTTAACACGCGTCGATGACTTAATGACGGTTGACCAGAGTCTGCCTCAGCTGCCTCATCGGGGATCTAGAGAGATCCTACTTTATCTACAGCTGATTATATTTTGTGAATCAAACCGTTAATTGTTTTCTATTAAAATGTGTACTATTCGCATAAACTACAGACGATACTGTATAGGTCACTAAAAAGATGACAAAAGTACCTACTTTTGTCATCTTTTTAGTGTCTCTTAAATTTTTGGACACGATTAAGTCGAAGTCTGAATTATTGTATAAGATAAAATAAGGTGTCTTCTTGGAATTCTTTCGTTTCACTGACGATTGAGTCCTTTGTGCCGCATAAACAAATTCTCGGCGTGAAAACGTGCCTCGCAGACATTTGTGACTTGTGACAATCCAATTACGTCTTCTTTCAGCTTTCTTCCGAATTAGCACATTCGTTAGGTTTCGACATGTTCGCTTGTGAAACGTGTCCCGCTGGTAATCACGATGCCGAGAGGTCCTAGATTCGATTACCTATGTCATTGTAATTGTTAAAGTTATTTTCGGGGATAAGTTGCAAATAAAAGTACTTCAGTAGAGTAGAACGGGGCCAGTTATTAAAAAATAATAATTTAGAGGGTAGTTGTGTGTTCGGGATAACTTAGTCACTCACACTTGTTTGTCGCCCTTCGTACTGATTATTGTGTTGACTGACTGTTTAATTGTGTTCTGTTTAATTAGCTTTCTCGATTTTTTGTTGCATTTTATACTTGTATGTGTTCTCTTTTGCTTCGGGTTGTTAATTATTATAGTTCGTGCCCTTGCCAACATTACGAAGACGTAGACGCACACACCACGTAGACACGTGACGTGTCATATAGTGAACTAGCAGAGTCAGCGACTTCGTCCGCGTAGAATAGTTATTTTGGGGATCCAAAATTGTGTTTGCAAACTGTTATATCTACGTCGTCTATCGCGTTTTTTATATTTAAAGGAGAAGAAAAAAAGAATGCTCTTTTACATATTTTTTGTGTATCTCGGACCATTTTCGCAGTGTACGCATCGGAAACCTACAAATATGAATAATTTTCCCCGTTTCTCATTTCTCACTGTATCTTCGCTTGTATTAGTCACAGATCGATTTTTTACTATTTTTTTACCTTCCTTGATAAATGCTCTAACCAACACAAAAATATTTTTTCAATACGAACCCGTAGTTCCTAAGATTAGCGCGTTCAAACAAACAAACTTTTCAGCTTTATATATAAGTATATATAGATAGATAGAAACTTACGTTAATTGGAAGTGAGCATCTCCCGCGCCGGTTTGCAGCGTCAAGAATCTAAAAAGGTAAGCGTTTTGTTTTTAGATGTTATACATTGTTTAGCAAGTGCACAAGAAGTGTAATGTATTCGCTGTGAGAATTTCGCAATGCATTTTCTATATTTACGTATTACACAGGTTAACTATGTCACACGCGCTGAACGTAAACTACGTATTTGTCGAAATTACGTAATATAGCGATGTATGGCAAGTTGGATCAACGAGTCCGAATCAAAATAAATACGATTGTTTTCCACAATTTCCCATTGTCTAGCAGTTTTTATTCGCGACCAAAGGTTTGCTGAAGATGTTATTTCGAATATTACGTAAACATATTCATAATAATCCAATAATTCCAATCAGCGTTCTTTGAAATCAGTTTCTTGTTTTTAAACTGCAACACGAAGACTTTCAGATCGTCCTTCCCCTCTCGCCAAGTGGATGTAAGCAGATCATAGTTAGATTCCTTAGATTATAATCTTTTAAGGAAATGTCGATCCATGTGTTTGGTGTTCGCTGACTGATAATATTATTAACGTTTGACCACTGACAATACTTTATAAGAATAACTTCTTTCTTAGATTGGCCTTATGAATTAGTTTTGTGAGGAAAATGTCTGACATTTATTAATGTTGTGCTGGTAATGTTACCGCATCAAGTATATATATAAGTAAAGATACTTAATGTTTATTTTATATAAGATTTTCAATTAAAATTACCATACTTTACAGACAATTAAATAAGCCTATTCACATATTCTTCAAAAGACAAGCCATAAGCGTCCCACATTTGGGAAGTGATTGCGCTCCCAATAATGTGATTAGGCGAGGGTGTGCCCCGTTCACGGGTCGACGCTTCCCTTCAGAAGCCTTATCGCTCATCACAGTTCTTTCTACATCCA